GGATTAGGGTTAAGGTCGCCGTCAGCTTCCCCATTCCTGGCTACCAACTGCGACCTAGCCCATTAAAATTTGTCTAGTCCTTACTTGTTTTATTTCTGTGTGATCAACTGTCAGTTGTTATGTGACCCCTTGTGCCCCCAAACGGGCAACGTGGTAGATGCGCTGGACCGATACGGGCCATCTCGGATTCTGGCAGGCGTTATCGGATTGCGCGCCATAACAAACGCCAACATTTCGGAGTGCAGTGGCAGACGCGGTTGCCGGAAGGCGTCGCGCACACTGGGACCCCTGTCGCCCCCCTCATTGTTGTTGTTGGTTAAAACAACCTGGTCATTTGTTGTGTGAACCTGGGGGTGCGGAGTGGAGCGCCAAGGTGCGGGCTCGACCGTGCCATCCACCTGCACCTTCTCCGGTCTCCGGTCTTCTTGACCCTGTCTGGACACCGGGTTCAGGCGGTGAATCGGGAAGAAAGATTGCGGTCGATGTTGCGCAAGTCTACTATCACTATAAACTACTTCACGCGTAATTCACCGTGCCCACTTCACCTGGCTGTGTAGCACACGGTGGACATCCTCGGAATCGACGGTTGAACTGTTTGAGTGCGAGCAAGAGGCGCAGTGTTGCAGCAGGCGCCCGGACTAGGGTCGCTACAAATGTCACCTTCCAAGACCGAAATTCGGACGAAAAATCCGAATGGGAGAGGAGTTGCTAAACCGGGTGAAAGAGAAACGTACCAAAGGTAGTGTTGTCGACATCATGGCCGACTGCGGCCGGCGGGAGCGTCATCATAATAGGGCGGTCGGAGAAAGTCGGTGGTTTATTTATCGACGGCAAATTCGTTTGTTGTGTCCGCATTTGGTAAATTAAGGAAATACCGTTAGTAATAGAAAAGGCAAAGTATAGGAAACTGAGAGGGATGTCTGGGTGCTGGTATTGACGGGAGGACTGTCGCTGGATTGGAACTGAACCATGGGCTGGGCTCGATGGGCTGACATTTTGTAATAATGCCCATCTCGTTTCGCGGAAAGATGACGGCAACTGCATTTTCCTCATCGTAGTCACATCATGTGGCGCAGGAAAATTTGGAGGTGAAATCGCGGGAAATTTCTTGATGACTGAGCTCGGTCAATTCTGGCAGTATCAAGTCGGGGTCAGCGATGTTGCGAAAACTAAAGCCTAGCTACTACGAATTTCAGGTTCTATTTCTTATCAATGAAGTATGTGACTAAGTAATCCGGCAGTATGAAATGTTACAGATCTCCTCGATAGGCGGTCAAGATGCACGTTCGAGGCATGGCCTGTTAACGGAATGGGCAGGATAATCTGGCGACAGCAGATATAATAAACGTTAGTCGTGCTCAAATCAGCAGAGCATGATGGTAATCTTTCACTGCTTTACAACAGTACGGCCCTGACAGTACCAGTATACGGATGACTCTTGGCCTTATGTTGAACTTCGCTAAGAGATTATAGGTGTTTCCGTACAGAAGACGCAGACGGTAGCATAGAAAGTCGGGGCGGACAAAACGGTCCAGAACCTCGGGCACCTTTTCATCGCAGGGGCACGACAACACTCTCCTCTTTTCCCTCATCGTTTGCCTGGAGCATCAGAACATAGAGAACGTCAGTTACACGCTGCAACGGACTACAAATTGAACATAATTATTTGAACGGATTGAAGCGACTCTTGGCGAGGATCCGAGATGGAGATTGTGTGACCGCGTGTCGGCGAAGGTGGCCCATGTCTCGTCAGTCACAACTGCTGACGCCCTACCCAACAGTTCGGCCGTCGGTCCCGACGATGTTAATCGTGCGCTCCACAGGGAAGTGTGAACAGGGGCGGTGACTTGTGCGTGAGTTGTTAATAGTGGTAGCAGACTTGCACAGCACCTGTCGTATTCCCTCCTCCTCATCCCCCTGGATCCGGTGTCACGAGCAAGTCAAGAGAACCGGAGGCCGGAGTGGACGTAGGCGGCTGGCGCGGCGAAAACCCACACCTAGGCGCGTCACCACATCTTCTGGAACACAACAAACAATTGACCAGGATTTTCAACAACATGAATGGAGAGGTGTCGGTTGGCGGGAGATGAGCCTATAACTAGGCCTACTATCAAACCCTTAATGCTGACATTTGTTATGGGCACGCACTCCCGACGCCTGCCGGACTGCGACCAAGCTCCAAGGTTGGCGCGTAACACTGGGCTCTCTAGGTCGACACCTCCTACGACCCCTCTCTGCAGTTGCCCATAACGCCGCACTCCCCACCGGTTGTTAAGCCGTCTCGTCCATACGGGCTATTCCTTTTCTCATGTACTATTTTGTTTTTTTGTATATTGAATCATTATCTGCTATTAATGCACGCCTTGTACCCAAATAAGTCTTGTTCGTCCGGATGAGTGATATGGAAATTCCTAATAACTCTGTTCAGGCTATCTTACGCCAGTAGACATCCTTCCTACGTTGCCCTACGTGCCTTTCTCAGCACCCTCGGTCGCTACTTGTTGGCAGCCATGTGCGGGGTAGACGGAGGGGAGACTCCTCATATCGCAAGTGCTTTGTTCGTCTTCTGGCGGAACAAACCCCGCAACAGGTCCCCCGAGACTGTCATACGCACAAATGTGATAAAGGGCTGAAGGCTAACAGATCGTTGCACTCTTGGTAACGTGCCAAACCCAGACAGCATTTATTAAAACATGCGCGCCGTTCCAGCGCCCTATTTTTCGACAAGACGCTGATGCTCCGCCACCCCTCAGGCTTGGTCTGGGCTGCCTCTTGTCCAACTGTGCTGAACTGTGGCTGCGCCCATTTCACTCCCATCGCCCGGCGTGGGCCCCCGACCCAGCCCATGGACCAACCAACCGCATGTCCAACACAGCTAATCAATTGCCCATGCTGGCACGGACATGTCAGACTCGCTTAAACAACCCACTGCAGACAGTTCGGCCACCATGACCATGTGCCCCACGGAATGGTCGGCGAAAGGGCGATGGCTCGCACGTGAAGCAGTTTATAGTAGACTTGCGGCCATCCAGACTTGCGTGTCAAGACAGAGCCAAGGAGACCGGGGGCGGGGGAGGACTCGGGTGGATGGCACGCCATGTACCCACACCTAGGCGTTGTCACCACGTTCCCTGGTCCGCGCGCAAAGGGCCGAGACTTCGCACAAAAAGAGGAGGGAGGTGGTGGGATTGTCTCTAAGATCACATTAAGCAGGAACCGCTGCAGCTCGACTCTCCGTCCTGAGAGGTGGACCAAGTTGTTCCGTGGTTGGCAACTTCCCAAGCCACGGCTTTTAGCCCATCTTGGTGGGTTCAAGCACGTCAGATTGTTTATGATGAGGAATATACGCCGAGTCGGCCTCACTCTTCCCTCTCTTAGACGAGAGTTCATCGTCCGAGCCGGTCAGTTGTCTGGTACGGGATTTGGGCGCAGTGGCTAAAACCCGACTACGCGTGCCATACACGCTCTGCCCATATAATAGCATGATTTCACACAAGGCGGGTGTGCAACTTAGGTCTCGGGTGAGAGTGCCAGAGGCCGCATTAAGAGGGAACCATAGCTGCCTGTTCACCAGTTGGCCACTACACACAAACAAGCCGACGAACTGACGACTCGTCCTGACACATAAACGGCAACACGGACTGCGCCCATAGCAGCCTTCACAATTCTCTGACCTCTGTCGTTAGACGGGACGGATTTGTTGCGTATATGATGTTGGTCTGATATCATAGACCCCCAGGAAAGTACATCCCACCCACAAAATATGACAGAATCCGCAGGCATCGCCTAACCGTTTTATCCGCGTTTGCTTTGAAATCGCTGTCCGTCCTGGCCAAATTACTGCCGACAGAGCGAAACAGTGGGACTGCAAACACCGAGAGATGACATCAATTCGTCCATTCCACCTTTTCGCAAGACTTCATTACGGTAGGACTTTGCATCCCGAAAGGAAACTTGCGAGATGAAAAGCGTAAGGCTTAATAGCCACGCTACGGCATACATTACTCAGGCTTTAAAAACGCCCACGTATACGACACGCCTAGGTCGCTCCTCCCCTTACTGCAGCGGCGCATCATGCCGCCCCAGACGTGGCGATCCGACTCCCCATTTAACGCAATTACAATGCGGACGCAAACACACACCAGAAGCTACTGCGCGTGTCCACACTTCAGATAAGCGCAGGCAAGCGTGAACGCAGGGCTTTCACAAATCATGAACAGCAAACAACGAAGACCTAATCCAGCAGGCATGGGCTGACACTCGCCTGGCCGGAGGGTACCGCTCAGACTTCAACTCCCCGCCTCGTGGTGAATGAACCTCTGCCGCTGGTATTTCCCGCGCACTGACAGGACGAAAAGACTTGGCTCAGGTTGAAGCGACTGTGGTACGCTCAATATCAAACTATGCACCGCAATTGACGATTGTGGTGAGACCGGATGACAAGAGAACAGTAAACACAAGGTCACCGGCTGTAAGGAACATTCAAGTCGTACACTCGGCTCATTATGGAGTTCATAGGTGCCGAGTCTAGAATCTGGGACCTCCGAGCTGGCGCATACCGACCTAAACAATCAATACTTGGGTGTTCGGATTACAAGCCGAATGATGACAGATCGGTGTAAAGCACGTCCACGCAGGCACCCGGAGCGCACTATTCGATGCTCCCCAAAAGGTCTGGAATTAACCGATCAAACAAGAGGAACTGACGTCATCTAAAGCGAGTCTTAATTTAAAATGCTATAAAGTTAAAAATCTCAAGCTCAAAATATACATACGGGTTCGGGGGAACACTTTACACACATATGTACAGTAGGTGGAGGGAAGGGATTGGGGAGAAGAGGGAGGGGGATGATGACGCAATGGGTCCACACTGAGCCCAAAGCCAACCTCACCGAACGGCGGCGCTATCACTGTCTGCGCCTCCTCCTGCTGTGGTTGAGACCAGAAATGAGGCAGAAGCGATGTGGAACTGGAAGTGCGGAGGGTAAGGGAAATAGTAACTAAGGTATGCGTGGCTGGACGATTCTAATAGCGTCGGGAGCTCCAGATCTGACAACTCGGATGACCCGCGCGGAAGCATTCGGTCCTACTCCCACCCTTGTTAGCGGGTTGGAGGCATTGGCGGGAAAGACGCGGGTTAGGGGTGAGGCGGAGAGGACGGTGGAGACCGGTGAGGCGAAACGCAGCTGCTGCTGTGGCGGTGGTGGCGGCTGTTGAGTGGCGTGGACACGCACCGGCTGACCGGGCATCGGAACCGCAGCAAAGGTGCCCGTGGGAGTGGTCGCCACTAGAGTACCATGAGTGGCACTACCATTGAGGAGTTGCGGCTGCAGAGAGTGTGGGCCCTGAGCAATTCGACGAACCACCTGCACGAATCGGGTTGGCGGCTGAACGGGTTGGGTGATTCGCTGCTGAAAGACTTCACCTGCGGTATAGAGCGAAAAAAATAAAATAACTGCCTGCGTATAAACAGGATTAGGTACGTCAACTGGAGGGAGGGGGATTTAGTGAGATTCCAGACCTCGGCGGCGATACCGTAGGGAAGTAGTGGAGCTAGCACATCATCGCCATCATCATTACTACTACTACTACTACTACTACTACTACTACTACTACTACTACTACTACTACTACTACTACTACTACTACTACTACTACTACTACTACTACTACCACCGCGACTAAATTAGAGGGACCGACTCGGGAGCTCGGCTTTCAAACTTACGTGTGGCCAACCAATAGCACCATTAAGAGGCGTTGCTACGTCAACTATTTCCAGTTTACTAAACATTGTCAGCAATATCGGCAGGCGGATAGGAGACTAAACTTAAATGCTAAAATAGTTCACAGGACTACAGCTCCAGCTTCGAATGCGCGAGCACTAGGGGCATCACGGAATGACTGTGGGTAATAAGCTCGAAATGATCACTCTAGTGCTCCTAAACTTTGGCGTAGCGCGAGCAGAAATGGGCATAGGAGTTAAACTATCCTCAAAGAAGACGCATTTCTAGCATAGATTGCTTGCCGATATGCGACCGTCTGGGGGCTATACGATGCCAAAAGGATGACTATGACTGGATTCTGTGGCGACCGGCCCGCACAATTACGTGAGGAGAAAGTTGTACAGCAGAGGCAAGAGAGCGATGGCGTGCTGTACATCAAACCAAGCCTTCCCTTGGAAGTGATGGTTGTTGCAAGGAGGAGGGGAGGTTTTCCTTTGCCTTGTGATGGAAGTGACTAGTGAGTAACTTTACAACTGTCAACGTTCGCACACTAGTTTAACGAAGTGCAAGAGAAGTCGCACCTGATGGGGTTTTCATCTGCCTTGTAATGACAAACACTGGCTGGCTTGTCGGATCGAGGAGCTGGCGCACAGGCTGAACGGAGGGCAATCCGTTAGAGAGCGAATGGACGGTGAGAGTTGGCTCCGCTAGCCCTACGGAGGCGGTGGTGGTGGTAGCCGGCAGGCGGTACTGTCGCGGGGGGGCGATGTTGGCTGAGCGCATGGGGACGGAGGGCTTGACCGGTACGGTCTGCCGAGGCGGCTGGAATGAGGTTGTAGCGTTGACAATAGTACTCGGAGAGGAGGAGGGCCAGCCACGACCGGGTTGCGGTGCTACCAGAGCCGAATTAACTGGCTTGTCCTGCACAACCGTTGCAGGTCGCCCTGGCAATACAGACCGCTGAGCGGCACGCGGTCGGGGATTGGATGCTCGGGGCAACAATTCACAATCCACTGGACCGATTGTGTAACCCGGCTGAAAAAGGAAACGCCAGAGACTTGAGTGCAGAATTAATAAGATGTTGCCTTTGGTAAGAACGCAAGATTGCGATTTTGCAGTCTCCGTGAAAAGATGTGGGAATCGCCCGCTGCGAAAATTCGAACAGCCAACTAAACTTACTTGAGACAGTCAACTGTTCTACCAACTCACGTTTTAGTGATAGTAGCGAAAATTGCTGTGCCATCGTATCGATAATACCCCATAAACGCTTAGCTTCACGAATCATAAAGTAGTCTATTGACGAAAACATCACCCGCAAGTTCTGATTTTCAGATTGCTGAGTTGTTATAGCCGGTTATTTAGGATCCCATGTCAGCTATGTCCTCCAAGGGCCGTATACAGGGTTTTCTATAAATAGCAATAAAGCAAAGTCGGCAATAGATCGACATTACTGTTTAAGTAGATTTCGTCCTAGAAGTGAGAGTTCGTTTGGTGAAAGTGACGAGGACCATTGCTGTTCGGGAAAGGGTGCAATGGCGACATTCGAGGTAGCTACTTCATCCATCCTTCCTTCCCTCACGTCCACCATGTCCCAATGACATAAAAGTCAAGCGGACAAGAGACGAACGTGGGAACTGGTCGAAACACTGCTCACAAGAATCAGGTAGGTGTTTGCTCCTAACTCCACATGAAAAAACCTTGTAGGTCTTGGATTGAACACAGGTAAGGGGGCCACAAAAGAGGTTAGGAAGGATCCACCGCGGTCCGACTCCCAGTTCTGTGCAGAACCTACTTATTTCGTCAACTGAATCACGACCGTTAGCATATCGGCATAGTTTGAAGGTGGGTATATGCATTTATCGAGGAAGGAAAACCTTGGATCTTAGCTTGAACGCCAATGGTCTCAATTCCATCCCCCACGTGCCAGTGGCCTGCCAGAGTGAGATTGAGTGGAGATGAGACTGGGTGGAGTGGATTTTGTCATATAAAGTCCCCATCCAACCCATGTCACACGCACACATACAACGGTTAGACTGTCCCGAGTGGTGACTTTCGGCTCACCTAACTCAGCACCCATCTGTCTTGCTCTAATGACAAGATAAAGTCAAGCGGACCTAAAGTGGAGGCGAGCACAATGACCGGTAGCTTGCTTACGCCGGCGACACACGAACTGGTCGCTGCATTGGCCTGCGTTCAACAGGGGGACGGGGTGGAAGCCTCGAAACACCTATAAGTGAGAGATGCCTAAAAGGTTGCACTAAAATGAATAATTGCAGCCTGGCCTTCAGTTCCGAGCAGAACGGGGTTACCGCGTCAGCTGGCAACCTTCTAAGCCGCGGACGATAGTGCGCCATGACAGATTTAAGCGCGACTAATTCATTGCAATGAGAGGCATGTTGGTTTATCTCGAGGATGAATCCCCTCAGTGTCGGCCGCGGTCAATTTTTCCCTCTCCCTGTAACAAAAGGATTTTCCGAGGCAAACTGACTGGACGTGAGATTGGGTGCAGTGGCAACGTGTCACATGCCACAAGCCTGCTGGTCCTCGCTTCCGCACGATCAGACTTCGTGTAGCACAGTCCTCACGAGAGCGCGATGCGCACATTCTGGCAAACGTTTCGCCACTGGCAAATTTCAGTGCAAGGGTGAGGTAACACAATGAAAGAAACTTGACAGCCATTCAGACCCGATCTAAGCTATCGGGACGTAAGAGGAAATGTGGTGGCCATCTGAGTAGACAGAGCTCACGAAAAGTGGGAAATAAGCCAGAAATGATCATACTTGTCGCCCTCGTCTCCATTGATGAAAAAAAAACTATATTAATGATCACGCCTTGATAAGCAACTGCCTCCGACGTCTCCAGACTGGAGGGCCGAGAAAAAACGGAACTTCCGTACTTCGTTCAAGTGTGCGAACGCCACATGTGGCGCCTCAAGCGCGTATAAGCCTCTGGTACCCACGCCGCGCTGTCAGCCACGTGACCGCAGCCTTCGGGCGAGTGGAACATACAGTAGATGCGCTAACTCATGAAATGTCAACCAAAATTTCGAAATGTGTTATCGTTTCGAAAAGATAAATTAAGTAGTGTTGTTAAACTAATCATGACGCAGCATAAATCTATAATGATCCAGTTACCTCAGGGTGTCGGCTTTCGGAAGAACATATTTTTGGCTGCATGCGAGATCTATACTCTGCAAAAAATGATTACTTAAGTAGCATGCAATTTTCTCATTGATTTTCGATGCAGTTAAAAGTTCAATTATATTTCATGGAAGACATGCATAAAAATATACATTCTGTTACTTATTCGGTAGAAAATCACGTCTTCTTCCAATTTCATACTCAAAAGAAGAGTATAATTCGGTTTTAAAAAACTTTTCTAATTCCCGAATAATTTTGAACCCGACCTGCTGTTACACTTGCATTCAGGGTTTCAAAACTACAAGCTGTATATTTTCCGTGTACGGAAAATCATGCATTTCTCTACGGTGTTAAGAGGAGACCATATGAGGTTCATAAAACTAAGCAGTGGATTTGAGCGATATTGTTAACTTTACAAGCCACATTCGTAAATGCAGATACATGACGTTTCATGAACGGCCATTTAACGGTACTAAAAAATCTCACAATTAGAAACTTTTTTAAAACCGAATTATACTATTCTTTTGAGTATGAATTTGAAAGAAGACGTAATTTTCTACCGAATAAGTAAAAGAATGAATATTTTTATGCAGGTTTTCCATGAGATATAATTGAACTTTTAACTGCATCGGAAATCAATGACAAAATTGCATGCTACTTAAGTAGTCATTTTTTGCAGAGTATAGATCTTGCATGCAGCGGAAAATAAGTTCTTTCGAAAGCCGACACCCTGAGGTAACTGGATCATTACAGATTTATGCTGCATCATGATTAGTTTTACAACACTACTTAATTTATCTTTTCGAGACGAGAACGCATTTCGAAATTTTGGTTGACATTTCATGAGTTAGCACATCTACTGTATGTACATTCAGACACGAGGACAGCCAATCTCAGGCGTCCACAAACTCCGTAATCACCCGCTCAACCCTGCAAGCTAACAGTGACTGGCTTTCCCACAACAGCCAATCACGCCCACATCACTCTAACGGACATATGCGCGCACAGGTCAAGAGCCGGTTGCACGTCGGAGGCTCGGACGACCACCAAGCTTCTCTATATAGATTACACGGATGTTTTTCCTCTGATTCGCCAAAACGGGATTGGGCTAGGATTGTTGGGGTGATGAAGATATGTCAAATATCTTTGCCGTTACAAATTACCGAGCCCAACGTGATTTTGGGTATTCCAGATAGAAGTCTACAGATCATGAGCCCCCTAGCACAAACAGGATCTGGGTTCCGGTCAAGGGCTGGGGAATTGTCGGTTCACAAATATAAACAGGCCAGAAGTAGCCATTCTGAACTATGCATCGTCTTTAGGACCAATGTACTTAACCGTAGACTACTGCGCAACTTACCCCATTGGGTGTGATTACAAATGAATGGCCAGCGCCTGAGATCTGCTCAGACTGCCGAAAGGTGGGTGTGGGAGATGTGGCGGACTGGGTTATTGGGGGGCGCTGGAGGAGGCTGGAGTAGAACTTAGAAGTCGCATGGAGAGCGGCTGAAGTCGGCGGGGCCTCTGACTCGGCGGGCGAGGATTCGGGATAGATGACTGTGAAGGAGCCCGGGGAGGAGGCAGTGGTGCTCAGGTTGGACTGGTAAGGAGAAGTCGGGCGATGGCGTTGCATCTGGAAAACAATTAATCCACACAGCAGGATGAACATCACGAAGATGAAAAAGACAGGTCGGCCACGAGAGGGCTAGACAAAGTAGAAGCACGGCGCAGGCGAATGGTGTAGATAGCAAGCCCAGATGATGATGCACTGTTCGTCAAATCAACTGTTTTGCCTATATCTGCAAGAAGTCGTACAGGATCGGCAATGTGAGCGTGCTTCAAGTGGTGAACGTCCGAACACCAAATGGGACAGAGAAGCCAGGCTGACAAGGGGTCATTACTGGGTTTCGCTCTTGACGAGAAATGGGACGGGCGCTTACGCTCATCAGATGAAAATTTTTGTGCCACGTGTAGATAAGGAAGTATTTGGTTGCGAGAACCATTAGAGTCCCGATGGATCTGTGCGTCCTATGCCTACACCTTTCCAGATCCCCAAGATACTGCGAAGCAGGCCTTTGCCGTTCAAAATTAGCGTTAAAATGGAGTCTGGCGAAACTTACATCTGAGTGGTCGACAGCCATCGCTCGATTGACGGCGTTCCACTGTGAATTAGCGGAAGCACGAGGCGTAGCAGCAGCAGGGGCGGCCGGTTGCAATTTTGGTCGGTTGTAGGCAGCTGCTGTGGCGATCACCCCGGCAGGATCGCAATTGTAGGAGTGGGTGGTGGTCGAGGAAGAATCCGTCCGAGGTCGTTTGGTGGGGAAGTAGAATACATTTTCACCCTCATCCACCGTCTGACGCTTCGAGGTGCTCGAAGGGGCAGTCGTAGATGCGGCTTCAAGCATGCGAGGACTGTCACGGCCAAGAGCAGTGTCCCGAGACGAATACTGTTGTTGGGTGGCCTTAGGCGGTCGTCCACGACGACGAGGAGGCTGCAAGGAGTCGGCCGGTAGGGAGCGAGCTTCCTTACTGTAATAGTAATCGTCAACATCACCAGTCGCAAATGCAGGTGGCGTCCGAGTTTCACGATCTCGCCCGCGATATCCTCTGGTGCTACTCGCAGTGGTTCGATAGTGAAAATTAGGCTGCCACCGATCCTCCTCCAGGTTGAGATTGTCATCGCCGCCATCATCACTCTCAAAGTCACAATATCTGGAATAGAAGGGTGGTGGGGCTGTGATCCGCTTGCGCAAGTGGCCGGCGGCATGACGCCGCCAGTGGCCTGACACACGCCCGGTGGTAGGTGCAGAAGATCGGCTCGAGAATGAGGTCTTCAACGTTTCGTCATCACTCGAAGGAGGGGATGGGGACAGGTCGGCGTGGTTACTAACGCGCCTACGGCTGCGATCGAAAGTGTAGTGTGCATCCATACCACCACGACCTCGGGGAAGGGGGGGCTCGGAAACCTATAGGGAGAACAAAAAAGCAACTCTAATGACAACCATAATCATTGGGAACCTTCGAAAGAATAAAGAATAGAAAATGGGGGATCGGATTGGGAATATAATTTACTTGGTTCTGCATTAATTCGTCATGGAAACCAGGGTGGACTAATGACATAGTGCTTAGACTAGCTCACGCGACATAAAAACTGCAGCGCCCTGGGCGAAAGCTCCGACGCATCTTCCCCGTCGGGAACACAGACACGCAACTAGTCAATTTCCTGCAGGCATGTGATGCAGTCACGTGCTGTTTGACTCCCGAGTGGGTTTGCTCATGTTTTCTGGCATGCACTCCAACGTTAGCCTAACTACTACGGTCCGTCAGAAGCCGGTGTCAGATTTACAGACATGCACCGTCGGAGCAGCCGTGAAATAAGTAAGCGGTTCCAATCCGACCAGCGACAAATCTGGCTTCTCCAGTTTCATATAGCGTGCATTAAAAAGTAGGCGTTACGAGCACTGGAGAGAGTAAATGGGGGTGTAATTCCAAATCTCGGGGTCTCTAAAAACGCTACTGCTGCTCTCAGGCATTTCCAGTACGCTTATGAAGTTGAACCTCAGGCATACAGGTCAAATGTCGAATTTTCAGTCGTGAGCGATTTTGCCTGAGTACACGGAGTCGGACAAGGTGCCCTTGTATGAGCGGTTTTATCACGAAAAACTAAAGAGATGGCATCCAGACTGGTCTGGAATGGGTGCGTCCACGGCGATCCCAGGGATGGCTAGAGACAGATTTGAGTTAGAAGCGCGGAATACAGGGGACCAGCAACAGAGAAACAATTTCACTGCGAACTGATGAAACGGATCCTGATCGCCCGGTCTTGGAAATGCATGGTTGTGGACGCGGGCGATTCTCTTGGGGTTACTGATGAAGTTACACGAGACAAAAGCGGCAGGATCAAGTACGTAGAACTATAACATCTGCGTATATGCGGTCAAAATGTTGAAAACACGTTGGACAGCGCTTTACACTGTCGATGAACAACGGTCCACAGCATGTGGCGAAGGCGAATCAATAATTTTTAGGGGGAATCAGTGGATCGTTCTCTAATGCCTAAGTCAGCCACCGGAGCTGAATACAATCGAGCATGCAACTTGCTTAGTAAGACGTCGCAAGAATAAAGAGGAACTGAAAGTAGTTGCGACTAACGCCTGGCATACCATCTCCGAGGAAAAAGCCCAGCTATCAGGGCACAAGTTTTTGGCACTCATTGGCGACAAGGAATTTGCAAGCAGGCATTAGAATCAGCAGTCCATTCGTGGTTACATGAATATGCTTAAATACTTTTGATTCCTTGGGTAGAGTAGGGTGGACACAAGAATAAAAAAATGTAAACAGACGTAAATGTACACGAATCAAGGCTGAGCGCGTGCACTTTCAGTTCATGCCTAGTACTTAAGCTTAGTCTCAATATGCTGGTGTAGACGGTCGAAATAATAACAACTTCCCTGATGTCTAAATATTTACGGATTTAACAGCATATAAAGGGAGATAACTCCTCAAGTGGTACCTGGTGAAGAGAGCGTTCGCTGTCCGTCCGGGGAACAGGGGTTCCGGCGTGAGAGGTTGAGGCAGAGCCGTGGCGACTGCTGGCTCCACCGCGAGTTCGGACTCCACCACGAGATCGACCGGCGCCCCGCATTCTGCCGCCACGGCCTCTGCGACCACGATTAAACGGACGAGAGGAGCGTTCTAGGCTCTCCTCCATTTCCGCACGCTCCAGCTCATCCAGTTCAGCGAGACGCGCAGCCTCAGGGTCGTAGGAGCTGGCGCAATAAAGGATTTCGTCCTCCTCGAGGTCTGCCCTATCCTCGTCTGCTTCGTGAAGAGCTTTCAGTTGATTGACCTTCCAGGTCTTCTTGGATTCTTCCAGCTGCGCCTATGCAATAAATAATCAGAAGTGATCCATGGAATGGAAGGAGGGTGGGGGGGAGGGGGAGGATGTAGTTGGTAAGGTCCGGATCGCGAGAGAATTTGAGGAGCGCGGTTTAAGGAAAGAGTGCGTGTCTCACATACGGGTGGGCCAGCGCACCACGGTACCTCAGACTGACCCTGGGCTTTATATACACGGGCTTCACCTAATCGGCACGTCACAACCGTACGCGAACATTCTATGGTTATGCTCTCGCTCCAAAAGCAAGCCAATCAGGGAATAGAAGGTGGAAAATGTCTGTGTTTTAATTAATTGTCAAGGCTATCGTTTGGGAAGCCAATCACGAAGTAAGTGGCCGACCCCTGCTGCGCGAGGGCAGGATTACATGCCAGTATGCAATATCAACCCGCACAAATCTGTGTTCTGTAAAGGAATTATCAGGACATGTAACTGATGCTTACAGATCACAGCAAGTATCCGTGATCAAAGCGAAAGTGGCCGAACGTATCATTTTAGTTATCTGAGATTTCGAACCAAAACAAGATGCGATCCTCAAAGGAAAAAGGAAAATGAACGGGCAATAAGTCGCGGCAGTCAGAAACGAGGGTTCAACGTGAGATTATCGTGCGTAAGCCAGCCATTCAGGCCAATGGCAAGCTGAACACAGGGGAAGCAGCTTGGCACTGTTTACCAGCTTCGATGTCGCAATTGTTTAGACAGTTACATAGTTAAGACCGCCTGGATACACGACTCGACGGGGAGAAGGCAGACTGCTGATCAACTAGCTTCAGCCAGTGAGTACACCTTGGAAACGGTTTAAGGGCCTGACGTGAGACATTGCTTCAGCAGGCATAACCCATCAACTAAACAAAACAGGTCCTGAAAATTGAGGTGTTTGAGGTAGAGAGGGCAAGGCGGCCTTTAAAGGCAGTTGCAGTACTATCGAACTTGTTGCAACTTTCAAACAACGCGGCGGATTCCTTACCGGCAGTCTCGGACAGAAAGTCAATTTGCTTGAGTTTTAAATGAGGACGGCCTTTATGTATCAATCCCGAGAGGTTAGGATTTCTCCTTGATTTTATAATTCCAAATAACCATTAAAAGGTAATATGCTACACACGCGATTACATCGTGAATAAAAAGGGCTAGATCCCAGTTGGTAGCCCGAACCCGCATTACAGGTGGCTGGCGGATTTATTTTCTGGGGTTATTTTGTGGGGCTCCATAATCACATCTGACCCATTTGGCTTCCGTTTGAGGTTAGGATTAGGGTACTGGTTAAAGGTCGCATTCACTCTGAAATCGCCAACTAATAACTGAAGTGTTACTACGCAAATTAGGACCAGTCCCATTTAGCAAAAGCAGCATTAAGCGGATACGCAGGAAACAACCATGAAATCCCCGGGTTTTTAGTTCCAGAAGGCCATAATAAACGCAGCCGACACACCGCTCCCGTAGGTGAGACAACCACCAACGCCATTGTCACCAGCCTGAATGCAGGAAACTCCGGGCCATCCAGTCGTTATATAACAGAGTATGAGCCACTTCATCGCCTTCACTGAGTCCGGGCCAGTGCTACATGATTTCGGCATTCCTCAAGACCGCTAATCCTATCGGTAAGCGCTGCTACTTCTTAGAGAAGAGTCAAATCTTAGCAAGAGATTCCTATTCAAATTTTCCCGACATGTGCACTCTACTGTTTTGAAAAAAGGAGCAATGATAAAAACTTCTCAGTTCTCTCACCTCGAACTGTTCCAATTCGTTAGTCAGCGATTCATCCTGGAAGCTCTCCAAGTGATTCACACCAAAACGCTCAATCGGGCGAAGAAGGGCCTCAAATTCAGCTAGCTCCCGCTCAACCACCGACTCTGGGGCGTTCTCCTCCGTGACTGCGGCTGTCTCCTCCGCACAGGGAGTTGGCGCAGTTCGCTGCTGCTGCGTCATTCGTCGATGGGCGGCAAACCGTGCCAACGGATCCGAGGCGCTGCCAGCCAGAAGGTAAGCGCCCTCCTCCCCCGGCGCCCCGGAGATTGTGGCATCAACGGTCTCCTCCGTGTCTGCTACAGGAGTGACTACCGTAGTCGGGTCCTTTAGAGCACCTGCCTCGAGGGGAGCACTGTCGTCAAACTCTGCCAGGTCGGCCTAGATGATGACAAAAGCGGTGGTGAGGACGAGGAATGCCTACTGCACGCATTATTTGCCAGTCAAGCGGGAAAATAACGCAATTCAAGGCGTCATTCAGCGTGATAAACACAGAGGCAGAGGGCGTTAGCAATGATACAAGGCTAGTACTTGCGCCGGAGAGTATGGAGGTGAAAGTGAACGAACACTGAAGGCGGAAGAAAAGGGGTGAGTAGAACAATAGCAACACAAGTTAAAATACTCACTCGGGCCTCATCAAGAGCACGCTTGGCGGCCGCGCGATCGTTCTCATCCTCACAGGCCTCGAGAGCCGCGACCCACTGAGAATCACTAATTGAGGCAGCCGAGGCATCTGGCTGTTGCTGACTGGTTAGAAGAGGGGCAGATCCTCGCCAGCGCACCTGACGGCCGCTTCGAGTGGTCAGCAGGGTTGGCGGCGTTGAAGCCTCCACGCTTTCTGAGCATTCTGCCGCGTTGCCCTGACTGAAGACAGCCCTAGCGGGGGAGGAGGAATCATCGGCCTGTTTATCGTCTTTTTCTTCGCTTGCAAGATCCTAGTAGGGCGTGGTGGAGAGCAAGATCGTTATTTGCCACAGCCAGAGGGGGGGGGGGAGGCGGGGAAGGTTTGATGGCGAAGGAAGAGGAAAGTAAGTTTAAACAGTGGCCAGTTAATACTGACATGGTGTTCGTCCATGAAACGCAGTCACACAGAGCATATTACTAAAATCACCGAGTCGAGGTTGCCAAGGTTTTAGTTTCAGCAAAACGTGCGTGTACGGAGTGCCTACACTTTCAAAGACAAGAGACAACTAATCACTGGAGACCATGTGCGTTTACTCTCTCTACAGCGCTGTCATCATAGTCGGGCGCCTCCCCATTGGCTACTCCCCTCTTCCCAAAGGTCATTGGGCCGAATGCCGCGAACCGTGGCAGGCCGTGCTTTCTTTGTCTGCTGCTTCGGTATTGGGGACAAGGGTCGAGTGCGTAAACGCTCCACGGGATTTCAAGTACCAGGCGGGCCATAACAGTGTGCAAAACCACGACCTTGACACAATGACTCCATCTATGACGAAGTGGCGGCCAAACAGCACTTGGTGGGAAAGAAGGACAGATTAAGCGAAGAAGTCTGGCGAGACAGGCCTGATTGGCTGCATTGATTAAGTGACTTTGGCTAGACGTCAAAGTTGAATCAGTCGGCAGTTATGACTACAGAATTACTACTTGTCTGCTGACTTGGAGTCAAATTTTCGACAACGGCGAGTATGATGAACAAAAAGGAGGCACACGCACCTGAAGACCAGATGGCTCAGCAAAAAGGTCGGAGATGATACTCTGTTTGAAGAAGGCCGTTGTAAACTTGCCCCCCTCAATGGCGACATCACTGAGGAGACGTTTTTGATTAGCCTTGCGGAGTATATTCTCCTCAACTGTTCTCTCGCTGATTAAGCGGTAGATATGCACATCTCGGGTTTGGCCAATACGATGGCATCTGACGAGGGGAAGGGGTGGGGAAAACGGGTATAAGCAAGGGAAGATTGAACAAACATGCAAACTTCTGTATCACCTAGTGGTCTGAGATCACGACTTTATGTCCGCTCACTGAAAACCTTGAAACTAGTGCCTGAGGGGCAAGCAGAAGTAGAGGAAAACGCAAAAAGCGACGTTTTACCGGCGACATAGGACACATAATAGGAAGAAACGGATTTTCACACACGATTAATTAGATGTCTGACGTTTCAAAGAGCAATTTCGCCTATTCATCAAGAGAATGCCAGCTACTAAGAGGACTGAGTTCAGTTACTTTCTCGAAGCGTCGAGGTACAACAAATAGCCAATAGCGCTCACTGGGGGAAACCGATGATCATAAAGAGGATAGAACCCCGAAAAGGCCAGCCTAGCTAAGTCACGACGGAGAGTATGATACGTCAAAAAAACAGCATAAACCGACGCTAGACCTCACATGCCGCTCCGAGTCCAACTAGCTCGTACGTTCGACTTCACTTTGCCATTAGATAACGAGCCAAAAACACCCTGTTCCGAACGCGGTAAGATCAGTGGCCGTCCACTGGTTGCCATTTACTTTTGGAAAATACAGTTCGGTCGGAGAAACTGGTTGCCAAGTGTAGGCAAAGTAATGTGTCCTAACCAGTGACCGTATAATACAAGTAGTGCACTAAATCAACAGCCTCTAGTGATAAGGAACCGAAATTACCCCCTAGAAAGTCTGACATTAAAGAGCTATATCCAAAACGGGTCGCTTATATTACGTTACACTGGAATTAAATTTTCATTATAAGACAAACCTGTCTTGGGCTTGAGCGTCCATTGTGGGATTCCAGTCCGAATCATAGAAGATAACAGTGTCGGCTCCGGTCAGGTTGATGCCCAAACCGCCAGATCGTGTTGATAGGATAAAGACGAAGATGCGCGAGTCCATATTAAAGCGCTCCATGAGCACCTGCCGTTGTTCCACTTTGGTCGTACCGTCAAGACGAAGGTAACGGTAACCATGGTAGGCCAAAAACTGTTCCAAAATATCGAGCATGCGTGCCATTTGAGTAAACAGGAGTACACGATGGTTCCCAGACATCAGTTCCCGAAGAAGCATGTCTAGGCGCTGTAGTTTGCCTTCAAAGAGAACAAAAGACGCAAACTTCCAGTGCCCGGCAGAGGTTGCGAAATAAGGGAGGTCGATGAAGTCTTTTGTCGTACAAGTGGGATTAAATTAACAATGTTTTGGCGTGAAATTAGGAAAAAGCCACTTTTGATTTGCTATATGAGTTTTTAAAGAGCAATTTTTACATTCATTCAAGTAAACCTCCTTGAAGACAGAGAGGGCAAGGCTTGCCTAAATGCGGCACACTCCTCAGTTAGCATAGATCGTGAAGACCAAAAATGGGGAACCCAGTACATGCATGTTTCCTATGAAAGAAGAGATTGGAAAGGCCCTCTTACATTAAATAGGAAATAAAATCCGTTCAGATCAGCTTAACACTAGAACTACTGGGTCTGCCTACGCAAAGGATTTATGGGCTCGGGTGCAGCGGCTGAAAAAGCCATACAAGCTGTATACGCGAGCTACCACGACCCGGTCCCTACTACATGCGCCAGGTTTCTAGGGAGGCGGGTTGGATCTCACACGCGTGAGAGTGCCATAAAGGCCACATCGAGAAGGAGCCATTACAGCCTGACTCTCATTCCCGAGAAAGACCTAGCTATTTCGTCAAATGGTAACCTCCCAGGTCACGACTATTAACGCATCGTGATAGACTTGGGCGACAACGGTTGGCCCCAGATACTACTGCCAGTGAATGCTAGGCTACCTAAATACAATAAGTAGACAGTGTGCTGAGTCAAATTAAGAGAGGGAGTTAAGACTTACCGCAGTCGTACTGAATCAGACGAGGATCCGGGAACTGGAAGTACTGGCTGTTAGCTATTTGGTACAGTTGAGGTGGAAGCAACCAGGAGCGCAGGGTCAGTGAACGGCAGGGACAGGCAGAAGTAGTACGGCTCTCTGGTTGATGCGCCTTCACAGGTTGACAGTGACTGAAAAGACCGGCGCTGACAAGGAAGGAATTTACAACGCAGGCAATAGCATCACTCTGTTGGGACTCGCAGTGCTGGAGGACGGCACAGGAGGCGTTCACTTGCGCACCAACCGAAATGGCAGTTGGGATCGAGATCAAAAACCTGGAAACGAGGACGCACAAAGGAGAACCCGATTAATTGACGATAGCAAGGGGCTGGACACTAAAACAAACAACCATGTACCGATTCCAGTAATGCGGAATGACGGTTACGGATTGGCTAGTTGAGGATCAGAGACAAATCAGAGGTAGTCACTGGTGAAACCAAATTAAGACCTTGGTGATGGGATTCTAAAGCCTCAACTCTGATGGGAGAGAGCTGTCATTTTTGAAATTGGTGATCTGTGCGCGAAAAACTTTTGAGTGAAAAGGAAATGCGCAGCGTTCATGTAGTTCGATTTCTAAAGTGTATAATTGCCCCGCGGTTAAACCATGTCAAGACGACGGGAGAGGGGCTTAGATGCAATGGTCTTCGCTCGTGTCGCTCATATGACCGATCGACCATGGAGTCAAGCGATGTCCAGCCGTGCGCCCTACGGCAGAGTGGAGCCAGGGACAGTGACTTGCGCGTAAGTTAGTTTGTGGTGATAGTCGATTTGCGCAGCATCTAATGTACTATCATCCCACTCACGTGGGTACGGTGTCACGAGAGGGTTAAGGTGACCAGAGGGGGGATCGAATGCAGGTGGCTCGCGCGGCGTGAACCTGTGTCTAGGCGTGCAACCACGCCCCTCCATGTATAGCATTTGTCGTGGGCGCGCAGCCCAATAAGGTGTGACATTCCCTAATCTGGTCCCCGTGTTGGTCGAGCACAACTCCTGCACAGCCCAGTTTGGGTGGGACAGACACACGTGCTGGTCCCCCGGGCTGCACAAAGCGGACCTCGCTCGGACACTTTCTGGCCGCTCACCAGCTAATAAGCCAGAAATGATCATTCCAGTCTCCTTTGTCTTTGTCGGCAATACCATTCTGCCTATATCATGCGCCACCGTGCAACTGCTGGTTGGGCTCATGAGAGAGCCCGTAAGGCACACGGGGACGAGTGAGTTCCGTAGAAACGATCGGTGAGCCCCCTCTACCCGGTTCAGAGAAAATGACACCAGTGTAAAAATTGATCGGAATCAAGAGCTGTAGAAAGTTGGTTCAGATCGATTGCCAAAAATCAACACACCTAAGGAGACCTTTCCACCATTCAAACTGGGATCAAATTCGCAAGTCGTTAAGCACAGACTTCGGCGCGCCGCAGTAGGCTTGTTTGGGTAATACAGCTTAGTATGCTTTGCAGTATTAGTAGGTGCAGTATTTTGAAGTATGACACTCAAAAGCCAAAGGGAAATTCCCCGCATAAAGTCCGAACATCAGTGCCAATGAACTCAGCATACTAGGTCTACTGATCCCAATCCTTCGTAGGTCAGTTTCTTTGAGTAGTCCTTTGGCAGTTCACCGATATTTTCAGGAAAAGTACTATTTCAACCAAACCAACACTGGTCTATCATGTGAAATCGAATTAGTATTCAGGACGACAAGAACCTTAAGACGACGGGTTTATAAACTGGCGACGCTGAAGGTGGCCTGGTAGATTCGCAGGTGCAACATCTTTATCGGTGACTTGCAAAATAAGCAGACTGCCGGAAGTAACGAAAAAGCAGTCGTCGAGTATGCACAACAGTAATCCCATCAAGCGTGACTGGACACAAAGTTGGAACAAACTACTTAAAAAAGGTCCCGAAATTTAACGGTATTAGCATATGGAAATATTATCCGCTATCCCAAAAGGTTTCACATGACGCCTGTGGCACAGTCCCGTAACAGTAAACCGGTGTGCCAGAGACAATCAAAACAATCACCCACGAATTCGGCAACTACGCGAAAAAATTCCTATCATTAATCCGTCCCATTCAACCGGAGTTCAGAATCGCAGCTCAGCCAGGTCTTGGACGACCGAGGGGTCCAGTTTCGCACAGCCTGATCGGATTTGCCGAGAGCATCAGAGTTTGGCCCGGCAAAAAATGAAAAGCAAAAACTGCGTTGAGGCTTTTTGGTTTCACAACAGCCAAACGTACCTGGCCAGAATTTCCGACAGATCATAACAGTAGTCTGCAGGACTGTGAAGCAGTTGCCGCAGAGAAGTCAGACACACGGCATCACCCCAGCCTCGAGTAAAGGCAGCCTCCGGTCCCAGACAGGCCTGCACACGCTGATCCGCAACGACTGTATTTCGCCCGGAGGCTGCAAGTCCCCCAATAGTATCGGCCGGATGTTTGTGGAGGGTCGCTGGTCCGTCGAGGTCGGCACAGGCAAGGCGATCAGGCCAGATGCGAAGGCTCCGTTGACAGGTTAGCCAGGCGCCCAGACCAAAGGGACGTGGTTCCGCCGCATCTTGTGGCTGTCGACTTCGACTGCGGGACGGAGGTGAGCGCACGAGGGCTGTCAGAAGGAAGACGAGATCAGGCCCGGGGAGATCGGTGTCCCAGGTGTCGGAGCAGTGGGTGGGTGCAGCGCAGCGACGCTCATTTATGCGTGCAATTAGAGAAAGACAATGCTGGCGATCTGCAACCCGAGATCGTAGAATGGATTTAGGAACGCCCGCGTTCCATGGTCTGGAGGGTGGTTCGACTGTATAGTGGAAGCAAAAGGGGGGGGGGGGGCGAGTTGCGATAAAAGGGGAGAGAGGAGTCAAAAATACAGAATTTTTATCCAGCAGGTGACATACCGCGGATAAGGGCAGCACCTCTGTTGATAGGGCGGGGAAGACTTGGATAGGTTCGTCTGGTGTTGGCTAAAGTGTAAAAAAACATGGAAAAATATGCGAGAAGTTATCCAACTTGAAGTGAAAATAGATGCTTACAAAGGAAAAAAAATCAGCAAATATTGAGAGACTGGACTTCGCATAAGAGCATAAAGGAAATCAGACGACACACGTAAGAAAACTCCTCATTTAGGAAATCAAAAGTGCATGCCAAGGTAAGATGCGGCTTGGATGTGCGAAGCAGGTAAAGTTCGCGAAGAAGGACTGAGAGCGACCAACTCCACCGACTGGACGCCGGTGAGACAGAGAACACAGTGCTAACGACGGCGGACCATGGATATTACTGTCAATGTATACTAGGCTACCCACATACAATAAGTAGACACTGTACAGGAATCAAATTAGAAGGGTCCATATCCCTATCGCATACTGCATAGACAGTGCAACAAAAGTGAAATGACTCTTCAAAGGTCGAACCGGCAAAAAGTAGTTCAACCTGTATGATCACTAGCCCGAGGTCACCACCGACAAGCAGCGATCCTAATTTGCCCTGTGTGAACCCAACATCCTGCTAATCAGTTTCGAATTCGTAGGTTGCATCGAATACGGTGCACGAAACAGTCGTTTGTATTGTGGATGAGCGCGGAAACTGCAGGAAGAAGGATTGTTATTCCCAAGAATAGGTCAGATAAGTGACATGATTTACAACTTCTGATGAATAGAACACGTGCGAGGTAGGGGATTAACATATCCGACATGCGCTTGCTGTGAGGTAGAATAGAACTGTCGAATGCAGTTATCGACTTCTAGACTTCCAATCTTCACAGAACAACAGCTCAGAATGAACAAGAGCTCGTAGTACGGGTTGGAGAAGCACCGATTACCCCGGACAGTCAACCGGGATTTCGGGTTGTACAGTATGGGACCTATCTCAAGAAACCTTAGGACATAAACTGATACGAACATTTTCTGACATCTAAAACGTTGCGCATTTTGCTCGCTCGTCCAACCTCCTCAAGGAAATTTTCTTTTCCTGTGAAAAACTGTGTTTAGGTAATTTTATTAATCAAAATGTGCGTAAATATGAGTGGAAATGGATAGTGATATATTTGGGCAATTTCATATGCTAATGCCTGCCGTAAACGTCGGTTGCGCATCAGAGCGTGATGGTCTTTGAGAGGAGAGTTATATACTGTCGAGGGTTTTACTAAACAGAACTTTCCGAACTTGAAAATCGACTTTTTCGTCCGATGATAACCGCGGGGATCAGTTTGCTACCACACAGGTTATTTTTTAAAGAACCAAACGTTTTATCAGTTTTTAGAAGTCCGGTTAGCACATCTGTGCGAGTTGGTGCCCTAAAGTGCAGTAATAACGCACACAGGCAATCCTTCGTTTAAATAGGCCAAAATCGTTTTGCCGTTTGTTGTCACAGAAAAAATTACCACCGAATAATAATTTTCAGTTTTGAACATATGAAAAATTACTCCTCATGCGGTCTAGTTTCTGTGCATACGTAATATACAAATAGAAAAAGTAAAACATTAATAGTTTCGGCAGAATATCATTACTTATATGGCCACTCCGCAGTGCATTAAAAATCGTAGAACGAAGCCATAAAGTAAGCAAAGATATCGAAAACGGAAGAAAAATAAAGAGTAAGAAATATTCTTCCGTTTGCGGTAAAAAAATATAAGTATCTCTTAGCAAAATGAAAGAAACGGCCAAATCGTCAACTATTTTCTCAGCTTCAACAGGTAAAATGCAATGTGCACAGACATCCGTCAACAGAATGCCGTATTAAGGCACTCCCTAAAAGATAACATAATAGAGGAAATTTTTCGATTTGATCACAGGCACATTCGTTGCTGGCTTTCATCGTGGACGTTCATTTTAATCGCCAATTAGGTTTCCTGTTTGGGTGAATCTTCAGATATGACCCAAACGACTTTCTATATGAAAAAGAACACCTAAATACCTCCAAGAGGTATTTTAAAGCTTTTGACAAGCATATAATACAGAACCTATCCAGATAGGCAATCGATTGGAAACTGAAAATCAGCGATATTTCAAGGCCGATCTGAAACACAACGTAAACTAGAACAAAGGCAAAGAGCAAATTGATTTCGTGGACGAAACGTTCTTTATATAAACAAAATTGTATGTTTACGATCACACCTGTCAATTGTACTTAAATTTATTAGTCCCTGACCGGCTTGGCAACATGTGTCCTTATGAAAACCTTTGCTCTCATGACGTCTCCATTGGCTAAATCAAGCAAAATCCCGTTAGCCCTATTGAACCGCATCTCAATCAACCCAAAGGCGTAAAGAACGTCACTAGTCTTCAGGAAACCGTTTTGAAATCTATGCTCAGAACGAGGGCTGTTGGCAAACCGCCGTACCTGAAATTGCCCAAATTCTCAAGGGATATTTAAATGAAAACTTCACTAGATAATTATTTTCAGAGGTTATTCTATTTATGCTGTCATGTTTACTTAGTGTTTTTCACGGACTGTCATTCTGTATATGCAAGACTAAATTACAACCTTTGACGTCTTCCAGTTTTTCCACTTTTCTAAAACAAATTGGCATTTCTAAACAACGAAACACTGTCTTTAAATTTTCTTTAATATTTTTAATTCCCACATAATTGTTATTTACTTACATTGGTATTAAGTCTACGCACTAGTGTCGGTTCGCGAGGGATTAGCAGTCATTCGTAAATTTCGACACCTTTAACGAGTCATGTCACGAACTGTAGGCGTTTCTCGCCTGTCTGAGGGGGAACACCCTAAAGGTGTTAGTTTTCCCTCACCCACGACCTGCTTTCATAAGAAATGAGCTGGGATGTCTGTTTATGCCCAACTCGCAAACAAACAGGCGGCAATGCGATAGAGCACATAAATTCATCAAAAATTGCGCACGCTTTGTCAACACACACACATTGTGGCACAGAATGTTCCGAGAGCTCCCAAGACTCAATCGATAGGAGTGGCACGACTCGAGCCGACAGTGGAACGAAGCAACACAGGAGACCGGGACGGCCAGACAAACGGGGAGTAAACATAAATACAAGACAGACAAGTGGAGTCCAAGTTCACACCTGGGGAGCAGCCTAGGAAAAGTAAACTGACGGCTGATATTCAAAGTACCCGACTAGACAGACGACATGCCGACGAGACGTTTAAAGGTGGTGGCGCCATGACTACAGTCAGAATAAATAGACACAAAATCCGCTTGTGCCGCGTGAAGCAGATTCAAGACAGACAGAGAAGTCCGGCTGACGTACTAATGGGCAGAAAATCTAGAGGGATCAGCCAGCTGCCAGAAAACTGACACAGGTTAATAAATTGACTTACGCGTCAGAAAGCTAGTCTCCTCATTGACCTCGGCGACAACTGACCGGGGCAGGAAGACTGGAGGTTGACGTCGTTTGAGGGATTGTCCACGCGGATTGGTCGATCTCATTTTGCATAGGATCTCGCGCTGATTGCGAACTGTCGGGAGGAAAAGAGCGAGCCAATCAACCTCTACGATCGGAATGAAAATATGACAATGGAAACAACAGATCTATGGCGCACGAAGCCCAAAGAGAATTCTCAGCGCACAGACACTGACGTCTTGAAGTTTGTAACCCGATATGTATGTTCCCCACTAGCCTCACTTAGAGAAGTTCCAGATGCGAAAAGAGGCGGAGAGTCACCGAGAGGGCTGACTGCACGATGGAATTTCGCTTTACCTCCAAGCCGCAGGTTAGGGTCGTCGAATACGGTCGCATAACCACAGGCAGTTTAAAAGTCAAGAAATGTACCCACCAAAAGTCAGAGTTAAATTGCCCGTACTGCATTACTCGTCCTAGCTTGTCAACCAGGACGGGAATTTAGGAGGAAAAGTTCTAGGTTTAGGACCCTAAATAACAATTTTGCATTCCCATGATCTAGCACAGGGTCAAAGACACAAGTTTTATTGGTTGCGATCAAAATTAACCCTGGCGTCAATCGCAGTGTTCACATTAAAGAAACACGCCATAACCAGGTTTTTTGGAAAAGAGAATACGTTCCACGGTGAATACATACCGGATAGGGCTGAACTGGTCCAACAACAGTTGGTCGGTTAAACTGATCCAGGGATTAGTGTGCCATATCGTTAAGTACACTTTAAGACTCTTCTGAGAATGTATTGTTAAGAGCGCTTGCTAGTGGAGCGGTGATCTCAAACCACGGTAGCTGCAGCTGATAAGGAAAGGTACACGAGCAAGACGCAGAAGGCAGGAGCCACTCAAAAATTGGGAGGGAAACTGAGGGATTCCTTAGCAAGTTTTGCTAAAGCTGACTTTCAAGACTTCAGGAAATTCTGAGAAAAGCCCGGACAAACTGAGGATATGATAAGTTTCAGTGGGGTGGTAATTAAAACGGCCTGATCGTTGGACCAGCTAAGCCGTAGCCAAGAGAATGACAATGTCTTTAAAACAAAAGGACAAAAGTGTGAGATACGGACAAAAAAAAAACGAGAAAAAGGGGTAACACTGTCTCGTCAAAAATAGGCATGAAGATTGCCCAGCTCTGGCCGAGTGCGTTTAGCTAGGGTCTCTTTCTGGGCCTGATCCCATAGTTTCGCTCTCAAACATGACGAAAACCTACAGTGCTCCAGGACAGAACAACGTTCAGTCGGACTTTGACTGGAACAGACTAAGGAGACTTGTGGAACATCGACCTCACTCTCTTCCGCATTCTATCGTGTACAAATGTCGAGGCTACATAGATGAGGCAGGATGCAGTAGCTGATCAGGCATAAATTCTCCGTCGCGAAGGAGGCACGATCGTTGGGACAAGAGCATTATTAGCCTGAAGTTTCGGTTTCTCAGTCGAATCCATCATCAGAGACAGAGCCTGATAAGGATAGTGGATCGTGTCTCCTTCTTCGCGGCTACTTTCTGGATCTCGCCTCTTCGCATCTATTAATGAATTCCCCGTTCACACGTGCCACTACACAGGCGAAGAGGTCAAGTGGTCGTATGCAAAAGAAAAGCTATTGGGAATGCGCGGTTGTACTTTGAGTGGTTGAGAAATAGTTGAGCTAACCCCCACCCCAACAGTATTCTGACCATCAGGTGAGGCTACATAACCATATCTTACTAACACTCCGATTGACTGGGGTTGCCGAGACATGGCAGCCGCCGTCAACTGATTCCGCACGATGCTGCGCTTACCACTAATAGTTAGAGCAACAGATAGGTGCTGATATTTGGGTAGGGTGGCCATCTTGTGCACAACTAAGCATTTGGTTTAAGTGTCAATATAGCCCTGTGACTGCTTCCATAGCCTCGAAATCTCATACACCTCGGGCGTCACATGAAGCAGGAGGAACTGTTACGTTACCGTCGTCCACTGTGTCCGTGGTGTCCACGATAGAGATGTGGGCAGGCTTCGCGCGCAGCTGATTAACTCGTCTGGCCACAAAGCCGGGCAAGTCACGAGCCATTTCAGCTAGATTTTGCGTTTGGCCAATGAGGCGGGCGGCAGCGCCAGCGCGATCGAGCCAGTCCAGATCGGGATCTGACCAGGCTGAGGGCCGAAATACGAGGCGTGAATTTTGTCCGCAAGTCCTCGGCATGACCACCAGAAAGGGGTGAGAGGCGGCGGCTAGGAGACGCGGCAGTTCAAGACTCAGGGCGTCCGGTCCCATGACAAAGGGCGATATGATGGGTCGGGGCTCGAAGAGGTTGGGATGGTTGCAGACCTTGCGCAACTGCATCAAAATGTTCATAACGGAGAGGAACTGACCCGAAGCAAGAGTGTCGCGTGTGCTGAAGGCATGGAGGGAGAGAGAAAGAAGAAATTTTGTCCATTTTTAGGAGTCAATTTAATACATGCACTGGGTATTGGTTAAAACAATGGTGGCGTACGCACGAGGAGAGTGACATAAAGTCGTCGTAGAGGTAACGCTGACGTCGGGATAGTCGACACATGACAACATGCTCATATTTCTTGGGCATTTGGCGCTCCACATCATCCTTCAGACGACGCAGAAGAAAGGGACGCAGGACTTTGTGCAGACGCATGACCAACTGCTCGTTGTATTCACTGTTCCCCTCAATCATGCCTGTGGAGCGGGGGAGGAGGGTATACATGTTTGATAAGATGGATAACTCACAGATGCGCAACACAGAGCGAATTAGTCTCGGGATATAAAGGAGCCCAAGGCAAAAGGGCACCCATTACAGATTCGATACTTCAGGAAGCGGCGTAAGCACAGATTCTGTCGTTCGAAATAGCATTCTTCAGTTAGCATGGGTTAGTTAAGAATCCACTTGAAAAAGGAAAAAACCACTCTGAAAATCGGGCTTTTGCATTCATTTTCTGACATTCCGTGTGGTTCACTTTATGCAAAACGCACGGTACCCACATAGCCCAAGTAGGCGAAAATGTGAAATTGATAAAGATAGAATCTGCTTCTTGTCAAGAATCTCCCACCAGGAGTGCGCTAATCGCAAGTAGCATATCAGTCCGGCATGCGTTTGGAAAGTGATCGAAGACAGAACGCGCAGTAAGGCGACAGGAAAGAGTAAAAGTCTTTAGTACTAAGTCAGATGACAGTCCCAAATTTCAGTAGGTATTCTCCAGCTCACATGGCTAAGTAGTCGCGTTCATGGGTAGTCGTGCATTCGCCTAGTCGAATTTGTCAAGAAACAGGCGTCGCAGCTGATGCGCTAAACCAAGAAGGGGCCATGTTTGCTCATGGTCGAGGGGGAAGAACGTCCAAGAGAGAGCCCTACGTAACGTCAGTCGCAGCGCATAGTCTCATCAGCGGTCGATTGACAGGTCAATGATGCATGGGAGATGGAAGAATGGAGTCAGTGCTGAGGTAGCCGCCCTCTCATGACAACTCAGCGCATTCTTCATTGTAAGAGATTTGACACGCGGAAAAAAATGCAGCTACGAGGGGTGGCAGCTGACGGTCTTACTTTAGAGGGTGAGGGTAGAATAAATACGTCACTTAAGGCCCAAACGGGGACACTATAGGCACTCTAATCGCATAATTCCCAGTCGGCTTGACTAAAACTCCCTACTGATGCATGAATGAATCGTGAGTAAAGCCAACAATGAGGCAACCCTGCCCACGCCGACTGCGTGGCTAGTGTTTTCACCAGGATGAAAATCCAGCTGACCTGAATGCAAAAAACTGGGTGGCACGTAGAAAAACCTACACTTTCAATGCATCATAGCGGGCTAGAAGCCGTGGCTTGAGGGACTGCCAGCAGTCAGGTAGCTCGGCTGGCCATTAATGGCCCCTTCCTGTAAGTAACAGAAACTATCTTCAATATGAGATCCGACACCCTTCCTCGAAATCTGGTTCCTGAGCGTCACGTGACGATGCTAATTTAGATTCGTTAGCCACGGCGTCAATATCAACACCCAGGTGTCTTGGCTCTATCTGGCTATTAAAACGCAGCATTTGTAGGAAGGTGAATCAGATGCTGTCAAAGTATTCTTTATCACAATCGCTTGACAGTATGGAACGAGAGGGCCTACCATCGACTCACGAAGTTGACGTGATCGTGACTTGCGCGAGTTTTTATGCAGTGCGGCATTTACCCCACACTCTCTTCCCGCACTTACGATATTCCTGCGGTAGGGCAAAGTCAAAACGACTGGAAGTGCATGTAAACATAGTGGCTGGGTGAGATGAGCGCCCGTTTACGCGTGCGGCGCGCGACCTGGGCCTTAGCCCAACACGCATGCTTGTGCTTGGTGTGGCTGCAATCATGTCTGGTCTAGCCGACCTCGATGATATCACGGACTGTATCCCACCAGGCATGGCCATAGGAGGCACCCGCTCTGGACAGCTCAATCCATTCTCTTCGACAGCACTGAAGACCGAGTACGGAAGGTCCGAGAAACGATTCCATGTGTTGACGGATTGCATCGAGTCAGGTTGTGAGTTGACCTTTTCGACGCCTCCAAGTGGGCAACGGTTCCGGGCCGAGGGCAGTAACACTGAACTCGTGAGGTGGACGACAAAGAACATGCCCTAACTAACTCTGCCGTCTTTCTTGGGCGGCCTGGGTTATCCTTGCGATGTTGTCGCAGCGAGCGTGGACTGTCTCCTATGAGACGAAGTCGGTGTACTTCACTCGGAGGATGCTCCTCAAACAGTGGTGGCCCAATACCACTAGTTTTTCTATGGACGGGATCTCCGAGCCCGCAGAGGCAAAAACGCAATACAGGGCATACAAAGAAGAGCACATTACAGCCTGTCTCTCAACCGTGTGTAAATTTGAGTTATGCCGTCAGTTGAGATTAAGGTCACGACTGCTAGCGCGTTCGGTTGTTTATGACTGAGGGACTAAGCATTGGATTTGGGCAGGATCGACCTCACCCACTTTTTATGCTATCATAAACACGTGGCTTGTCCAAGTACAGTCAACTGGAGATTAAACTAGGGTTTTCTACGACAAACCAATTCACGCATGCCACCGCTTTCTTTCCAGAAAGTTGAGGTGGTATCTACGTCGGAAATATGACAAGGCGATTTTGTATGCATAGAAGTCAAGAGTGTCTGAAATTATAAAAACTCAGGGTTGCAGAGGTGACGGCTACTCCAATATAGTCGGTCGGTTTCTGTGGCAACTATAACTTCGACTATTTCATCCGTCTGCGCACTATAAACAACATAACAGCTGACAGAATTCCCCAAAAACTGTTCAAAATGAGAGGATAACACCTAATCAGACGGTAGTAAACAATCACAGAGGACGCTTTCAAGAGAGCCGTCAATACACTGAGTCTTAATACCCAACGAAGGGCTAGTAAGATGTTCACATAGCCAACGGCATCACCACAGGCGCGAAAGCACACAAAAGGAACCGACACGTGAAAAATTGTGTATCCTGTTCAGATGATCAACTAATGAAAGTGTTAGTTGACAGGTGGCAACATACGATTTTGGCATAGAGCCAAAGTAACGCGCAGCAAGCACCACAACCACCGTCTTGGCTACCGTGGCCAAGTTCGAGTCAATGGGCAGAGTAACCGACAAAAGCTCGGCTTTACGTCCACTTCACGTGCACGTGCCTGAGAAATACAAGCACACAGTATGCGGAGTGGACAGGACAGTTCGAAAGATACGGAGGATGGTAACACGTGATTACTGAATGCCGCCCGGGCAGACCACGGTCCTAATGCGACGGAGGCATTTGGAGGGGACGAAATGAAATCTAATAGATGCCGCATGATAAAAGCTCGCTTCGTTGAGTGTGCCGTAGGCCAGAAAAATTTATCCAACACCGCAATAGATCAGGAATGTGCGCTGTTAGGAGTCTTTTTGGAAAAGGCTTTCCTTCACGTGGGGATGACTGAGGCCTAACAGTCTAGGCGCAAATGAACATAGGTTTCCCGACCTGAGTATGTGAGGTCATGAGAAGAGTCCCATGGTGTTTCGGGTCATACAAAATTCTGACTCTTAAACATGTATTTTTCCACGCAGTAGTAGTGCAAGTGAACAATCTACTGTTTTAGTATACCGAGAACTCTAGACCGTTGAGGAAGACATGAGGAAAATCTGCAACATACAGCCACTTATTTGTGCCACGGTATTCGGTAAAGATGTTTAGAGTTCAGTTTAATGTCGAGTCTGCGCGCAGGCGGAAGTGAGTCGATGAAGGGATACCGAGTAGGTCATTAGAGAGGTCATTAGAAGCTCAATATGTATAAGTGGCATATACAGTCAGCCAAGGACTCTCAGTTGTCGGTCAGATGATTGTCCAACATAATGACTGTCCGAAATGCTATAGGATTATACCGTATGATAATCAACATTACGACTCCACTTAAGTAATCCTATCTAACCGAAAACGCATTTCAGGATTTTGGCCAACAGTTAATGTGATCGGTCACTCACTGTACATTGTCGGTCGTGTCATTATTACTTGCTAGATTGTGTGCTCATCGAGAAACGCGATTAGCCAGTACTAGCGTGAAACGCGGTGTGTCGCGTCGAATGCTTGACCCATCGAAATCTGGTCTTCTCAAAGACGAGGCTAAGACTCCAACCTCGTAGACCACCTCGACGGTGAATAACAGCTAGTGTGCAGCATATTGAAACAATTGAATTTATCGAACTGAAAGCTAAATCTCAGCATCAAACTGAACACCAGTCTGGAGGAAGCGCAAATCCTGGAGGGGAAGGATGCTAAAAGTTAGTGATGGACATTGCAGCACGCCATCCACACCGCAACTCACTTGCTTGCTGTTAGCACGAAAAGAAAAATTCACCCAAATATTCTTAGCGCCTTTCCTTTGGGTCGTCAACGCTTGTCATGGCAAGATCACTTCTGGAAAACTCACAGCGTGGGAACCTCGCTCTTATGACACGGAGCCCTTTCTGGTGGCGAAGGCGACCACAGCGTATAGACGTTTCGGTTTTGGGAGTTCGATCCAAAAGAGGACGTATCCGACACCTACCCTGAGAAGCGATATCTACCCTTGTATCGGACTAGTGCTCGAAGGAACAGGACTGTCCCCCCTCCCCTTCTGGTCAGTCGGCTATAGGGTTGTCAAAAAAGAACGACTATCCCAATCTAACAAAGTGAACAAAGTTACTCTAATGAAAAGAGGGGGGGAAGGCAAGGAGGTCCGTAACATTCCAGTTGGCCGCCTGTGTTTCGTGACCGCATGTGCCACTTACAACAACTGCGGGCAGCTTTGCAAACGGCATCAACCTCCGTTGGGCTATGACACATTTTCTGGCCTCATGACAGTTTAAGGTGTAGGCCGTGCGTTCCTGAATAGGTCTCCAAAGACATCGCTGACGGTTGTCCAATTTCACTTTGGCCTATGTCTGGTGAGGTGGGAAAACGGCCAGTATTGATCTGAACAACCGGCTAGGTAGCATACCGCCATCTGCGTATGGATGTTTAAGGGGAGGGGGTGATAGGATTCGTGGCAGAGATAGCTGAGTAGTGGAAACGACTCACAGATGAAGTTACGCGGGGGGAGGACTGGATGGCATTGATCCCACTCTCCTCGCGGTCGCGTAGTGATCAAATGGTCAGGAGGGATGACATAGTGGCTGACTTGACGTAGGCCCTGTCCACTTACGGTATAATACGACTGACTTTTATTTACTCCACCAACCAGACTGGGCATACGGAGAAATAAAACGGGGCAGATGATACGCTAGCTACCCTCATCCGGCTTAGCGTGCCTGGGTGTGACTGTTGTGCAGAGCACGGACACGTAGTCACAAATGAGAGCGGACAGTCACTGACAGCTACGCCGGCAAGGTGCATCTTTTAACTGCGCAACCGATACCCTCGTAATCAAACAAAAACAAAAAACAACGTACTGCATCGATCAAAGAAGGCTGCCATCCAGAAGGAAACTTACCCGTAAGGGGTGAGGCGAACCACTCCTGAAACTCCCTATGAGACTGGAAGATGTTCGGCATTAAAAAGTGCATCAGGGACCAGAGTTCCATGAGGGAATTCTGCAGAGGAGTACCAGTTAGGAGAAGACGACGTTGGCTGGTGAACGTGAGAAGAGTTTGCCACCGTTGAGACTTGAAGTTTTTGATATTTTGAGCCTAGGAAGATAGCAAGAGTTCTGAGGTAATTGAGAATTTCCAAATGCTGCGAGCATCCGAATGAGAGTTGGGGATATACTTATGACTGAATATGTCTGTACAGGTTAATATTTCTCATGCCCTGGTGCGCTGCTTCTGATAACGCAGTATGCATCGAGGAACAGGTCGAGACCTGGAGGGTAAGTGAGATGAATCAATGCCCAGGCCATCGGGAGTGTCAGTTTTGAGAACGACTAAGCCCTGGTTTCAGGTCCGCTGCACAAGGTAATCACATTGCCAACTGGTATGCACCAAGTGGACGTGGTGTTAACATCAAAACTGTCCGTACCGAATAGTCCACCATACCCTCAGCATGGGTAGTAGACAAAGACCCAGACACGCGTATTTCGCCAATCTTGTGCCGCTGCATGATGCAGCTGCGAGGTGTTCGACGCCCATCAGTGTACCCACCGCATTCTCAATGTGCTTTCTGACATATCTTCCGGTTTTCAATGTTGCCCTTTCTATTTTTCTCTTGAAGTAATGCGCTAACTATGGGCTGAGATGACCATGTGAGCCGAAATTCAATGGAATAATCACGTGCTAGTTACAAGATGCAAACAGGCACTCAGTGGTATAAAAACACTGAATGATTCCCGGTACTGACAGCATAGGTACTAGATGAGACCGCTGATACATGTGTTTTGCTGATTTCGTGTCGATGCATGACACAGATGCACTGTCAGTCGAATACAAACGGTCAAGCCTACCCGGTGGATGCTAATGCAGTAATTAGTGGTCAGAGAGGCATAGGAAAAATGATAAGACGTAAAATGCAGGGAAGGAACACACCTCGTCAAGGATCAGATATTTCCACTTTTTCCTCTTGAACGCGGCGCTATCCTGGATGGCTAAACGATAGGACGTGATGCAAACGTGAAAGGCGTTAGTTTTGGTCCATCCCTGAAAAAAAAGTAAAGTCGGTGTGAGATCAACAGTGCAGGGTAACCAAAAACATGCTGCAGTTATGGTTTTGCGCTCGTGGTACAAGAACAGTCTCCAGCCTACGCAAAACCGTGCGTTAATAGAATTGAAACCTAATCACTCCTGGATGAGACCAAACTGGTGACGACTATTATCCGATTTCTGGGTTGTTTCAAACAGTTGCCCTCCGTAACACATGAGAATACGCAGGGGTTGACGAGACTTTTTGGAGGGTAGCGTGAAACCAGTTGCCACCCTCCAGATTGTACAAAAGTAAACTAGGGTGTCCTCAAATTCAATGACCACACCCTTACTCGAATTAACGGGTGTACTGAGCGCAGGCCCGTGAGTACACTCGCCGTTGGTATCACTAGCATTTGCAGCAACAGTAAACTGGACATCTACATTTTACGGTGTAGCATCATTTAATCAGAAGGCAAGTGCAGAGCATAAATAATCCCAACACAAGTCTTATTGTTTCGAAAACCCTTGAAGGAGGCGTTTTTCCTAGAAGTGCTAACAGCCCAGCAGTTTTCACGGAGATAGGAATAATTTGGTTATACGATGACCCAGAGAGTTAGACAATGAGACCAGCAACGGGAAGATATAATACCTATTTATAACGTCTTCACAACAGAAGGCACGTCAAATGGAACCCACCTTTCGTTTCAACTTGCGCTCCTTCAGATTGCCGAAGTATGTGAGGATTTTGAAGCCGGGACACCAGCGCTTGAATTCCACCTCCCAGTTGAGGATGACACTGGTGGGCACCACGATTAGGTGCGGCCCCCAGATCCCCAGTTCACAGGCCAGATGGGCCAGCAGGGCGATAGTCTGAATGGTCTTGCCCAGGCCCATCTCGTCCGCGAGGATGCCGTTTAGGCGCTTTTCATAGATCGCGGCCAACCAGCTCAGGCCGACAATCTGGTATTCTCGCAGGGTTCCGGTCAGCAGAAATGGTGTCTTCACGTTGACCATCGTAGCGGCCAGAGTGTTCCCCTGTGGCTGCGCGCTAATCGCATCCGCGGTAAGGGCATTTAGTTCTGCATCGTTCTGACAGTAAAAAAAGTGGATGGAACTGTAATATCATTCAAGACTCTTCTAACCTAGCAGTCTCAAGTGAATCCTGAGTTGGGGAGGAAAGGCGGCCGACCAGCTGAGGCAACCACTGAACAAGATCGACAGCGACTCTCTTCCCGATCAAAGAATCATAGATCTTCCGGCCCATTGGCTAAGGATACTGTCAAGGGGTTCCTTTATGGGTGACTTCTCAGAGTTCCTTGGCTTCCTGCCTCCCATGAATGTTACATGCCTCTACAGTTGTAGATACGGGATTAGTCGGCAGAAAGCGGCGAAGCTGTTGCTCACAGATTCAAACTTTCATGCTACACAGGCTCTTTACTGAAACGCTTCAAGTAGGAGTGTCGTGTGCCATTGAATCACCATTACCACACTTTGGCATACACTGATTTTCTACTGATCAGGCCCTCGGTCCCCATGCGGCTTCGGCTGCACGGGTGACTTGAGTCCGAGACTATCCCGACACGTCAAGCGTCGTGGATAGGAAGGTTGCTGATTGACGCCCGCTCTCGGCTCACGCAGTTCGTCGCGTTGTGTGTGTGTGTTGTGTGGAGTGGCGGACTGGTAAGCTGGGAACGGGCTGAAACAGCACCTTCCACGGCACTCTCACGCAAGTGAGAGACACGCCGTTCAACCCCCGTTGTGTGAAATCCTGGTGTTGTGTGTATGGGGGGCCAGGTCGTGCCGTGGCGCGCGCAGTCATGGTCAGTCGACCATGACAGCCACCGCGCCCATTCCCCACTCCAGTCTGCTGACCGGCTCGGACAGCGGCTGGGGCGTGGGAGTGGGAAGGGAGATTGAGGTCGACGACTCAGCGCACTTTCTCCTCACTATAAACAATCTGACGCGCTTGAAGCTATCACGGTGCGCTAAAAGCCGTGGCTTGGAAGGTTGCCAACTGACGGGGTAACTTGGACCTCCTCCTTGACCGGAGGCGGTCTGAGAGTCAGGCTGCAATGGCCCCTTTTTAATGTGGCCTTTATGGCACTCCATCACAGTGTGGGATCCGAGCCAGGCGTTGGCGGCACGCCCAGGTGCGGCTTCGGCCGTGCCAGCCTCCAAATCTCTGTTGTTGGTTGAAATCCTGGTTATTGTGGTGTGGACCAGGGGGTGTGGTGGAACGCCAAGGTGAGGATCCGACCGAGCCATCCACCTGCGGCCTCTCTCGTCTCCGGTCTTCTTGACTCTGTCTTGACACCGGGCTCGGGAGGAGGAGGGAGTGTAGGCAGATGCTACGCAAGTCTACCGGCACTATAAACCCCTGCGTAAGTCACCATCCCTGCTCCCATTGCTGTTGCAACTGTGGGGCACACGGTGGACATCATCGAAACCGATGGTCGAACTGATCAGGCCAGAAAATGCAGAAACCCCTCGACTCAAAAATACATCAAAGACATAGTGGTAACCTATTTAGACTGGGCAAGCCCGATGTAAGTGGTAGATATTTAAGTATGAAAGACCTGCTTCAAATAGGCAGAAAAAAATTAGACCGGACTTATTTCAAATACCAGTTCAACAGAATCTTAAGCTTGATGGACAAAAGATGCGCTGTAAAAGAATCTGAGAAGGGTGAACGAATTACATAATTTCTTTAACAGTCTGAGCAGTGTCTGGTGGATTTCAATGACAAAAACGCAAACGCCGGTAGGCCACCTAGAAAGGGGATTCCATGACCTTTTCAGGTACTGACTAGTTAAACACCCGATGATCCTAAGAGCAACTGCGATTGATACAGTGATATGTAGGTGAGGTGGAGGCAGAGAGCAAGAGTGACACAATTACGCCAGTGCTTATAACTGCACGGCAAGTCCAGGTAAAAAAAAAACAGCCAAATTGAGGTAGCCTTATGGATGACCTGACACGGTTCTAGCGACGAGGTCCATCATGGAGTCGACGACGCAGCAGTGACTTGTGCGTGAATATTCTGACGGCGAAGCAGGCTCCCATTGCACCAACCCCACACACACACTTGTCAAATTGTGTTCTAGTGGTAAAATAGCCCAGACGACTGGAAATGGGGATGGACGCACTGGCTGACACTGTCTACGCGTGAAAGACACGACTTAGTCAGTAACTGCAAAGAAAAAGAGGGCTCATGGATCTCCTGTGGGTGCTACAAAGACCACATAGTAGCCTGACGGCCAAGCCTGAGAATAACTGTGTTAGGTCAGATATGGTTATGCAGCCGCACCTGAGGCAAAGAAACTCCAGTCGCCTGTAATACTGGACCGGTGGTAATGGGGGTTTTTACAGGTGGGATCGGGGAACGCACAGACGACGAGGTCAAGTAATTGTATGCAAAAGAAAAGCTATCTGGGAATGCGCGGTTGTACTTTGAGTGGTTGAGAAATAGTTGCCTTAACCCCTAACAGTGTTGCGTCCTCTTTATAAACAACCAAATGAGCTTTCACGTTGCCACAATACGAGTCCAGATTTGTAAGGTTGCCAATTGACAGGATAACTTGGTCCTGATCAGAGCTGGGGGTCAGGCTGCAATGGCTCCTTCTAAATGTAACCCTAGTGGCATTCCCACTTACTTCCTCGTTCACTGAATACTGATCCGTGTTTTGTCAGGTATCGGGCCTGTGCACGTACCAGTTGTCTTTCTCCGTCTTGCTATGGGAAGACAGAATGGCGTGAAGAGAGTAAGACAGACGCGGCGCAAGTCTGCTTTACTATAACCAAACATACGCCCCGGCAGCAGTGGTGTTCGCCGTTTGCGCAATCTACAACCACTAATACATTAACTGGTAAATCATGAACGCTTTGTCCTGTCAAGTATTATGGAAGCCCTTTGAATCTACGAGTCAAAGCGAATATTGAAGGCAATCCAATGCCCAACAGCACAGCCAACCTACGTGAAATGGGAGGACGAAAAGAACTACAGGAAGACGGAGATTGTGATGACAGGCCTTTGAGAAAAGCCGACGGCAACATGAACACTTAAATGGAGTTGAATTTGAATGAAATTTGTGGGGCGGTGGACCGCTAAACCGACATTTAGAATCGATTAAAGCAATAAAGGACCTGGCCACAGAACAAAAACTATACTTTGTCTGCATGACGTTGCGGCCAGCCTGAAACTAGCGGATTTCAAGTACAGCAGCAAGGGCCATCTGCGGATGAAGTGTCCTGCCTGGGCTCCTGTCGGATGCACACAGATTCACCCCCCCGAAAGAAGCAACATTTGTGACGTGCCCTCAAAGTACGACGGTCGTTTTTGGAGGTGATTAGTTAGCCAATAACAAGTGAGACATCGCAGGTGGTCAGAATTTAAAAAAAAATACCTTCGAGGTGGCTTGAGACTGTTGTAATGTAGGTGATGTCTTCGTGTCATTGGTGTTCGGAACGTTCTTGTCCGGAGCGTCATCTAGTAGATTTTCGAGGCCTACATCATCCTCCTCACTCTCCGGCGACGAAGCTTCTCTATCTGAAGCCTCACTGTCGCCATCATGGGAGATACTACTGCTCGAGGAAGAGGGGGTATCGCTTGAAGTTCCGGAGTGGTCACTATCGCTGTCTTCTTTGTTTTCCCCTGCCCGCTCCTCGTTTGTTGCTTGTCCGTCTTCCTCCGTTTCGGTCGACGTTCGACCCAAACCAGCCGCATCAAGACCGTAGCGGGCAAGAAGGTCCTCTAGAGGCATTTCGGCTTCTGCCTCCAGATCATTGACCTCCTGTGTTGCGTCCTGAGACGGTCCAGCGCCCGAGTCCTCAGCAGAGGCAGCAACTCGGACGGCAGCCTCGTGAGCCTCCTGCTCGGCCATGGTGGCCTCGTCATCGGAGGAACTGTCATTGGGGTCGGGCACAAAAGCTGCGTCCTTCTCCGGCTTGGCAGATTCTGACGCTAGTTCTGCTTTAGTCTATGTGATAGAAGCATAACCACCAACACCGGCCGTTAGAAAGAGGTGATGTAAAAGTGGACAAGCAAGAAGAGACTTTACAATGATTGCTGTCCACTTTTGACAAAAACGGTGGAGAATCACAGACAATGACCCATCCTCGTTGGCAAAACCTGGTGTATCCTTACTGGAAGCGGGGAGGGGAGAGGGAAGAAACACCTGATTCGGAGGATGACCACACAGAGGCCTCGTTTGCTTCAAAACGGGACCGAGTAGGCCAGAGTTTTTAAAAAGCTACTAACGCGCGACTTATAACCTTCCGAATAGGAGAGAAAGTTCGTTAAAATAGGGATCATAATGCGACTGCCTGGACACATTTTATGTCCAAGGTTGCTCCATCAGCATATAGGTTGTCATTGACAATATCGAGTCTCGGAGTCAAAGAACCAAAATTAGTGGACCTTTGCAATGGCATTCTACTCGACTCATGACAACCCCTTCGCGCATGCTGGCCGTCTGTGCACTTATTGTTATCTTTCGCAAATAGGAAGCGCTTGAAGCTGCAGAGGTCAGCGGTGAGCGTGAGATTAGGCGATGCATCTCAGATGAAACATGAGTACATATCCTCCACAAGGCATAGTGCTGAGATTGAAAAAAAGTAGATGGAATGGAAGGGGGATGATGCATCGAGTTCATTCAAGTAAAAGTCCACAGAATGCGCAACCGAAAAACCGACAGCTTTCAATCCCGATTGGCGGGTTAAAGGTCGCGAATGAGGTACTACTTGTATGATTTTGATTGGACGCGCAGGGGAAGTGGGGGAACGCGACGCCGAGGACTAATGCCAACGTGAAGTTTGACACCCAAGGGACCAGCTACCGGCAACGGTTCTAGTCCTTCCTCTCGTCCTCAATTGAATAAAATAACCGGTGGCATTGTTCTTCATGGGCTTTTGGGGCACCATAAGCTAGCTGAGTCACCTGCGCAGCCGAACAGACCTAAGCATCGCCTAGGTTCGGGAAGTTGAAATATAGAACGCAACGGCACGCTAATGGCCCTCCAACTGCGGCATAGCAATTCCACTCTTTGTGCCCAAAGAGGGCAGTCGGCCCTATCTGCTAGATCAGCGCCCCACCCACTCTCGCAACTCGGATGGTTTTTGTCGGGTGAAAATTCCAACGGGCATGATGCCGTACGATAGTAACATTTCCGTACACTTTTCACCGCCCTGTCAAACAACTTCGAATCAATATGAGGGGGGGGAGGGGACCAAAACTGCAAAAACGCCGTGCTTCCGGCTAGGGACGGCGTAGAGGACCTTGAAAATGAAAGCAGAGGCATGAGGGTTTAAACTAACGGGAGAAGCCGGAGCACTATCATTTGGCTCCACGGAAGGAGGTGAAGAAGTGGACGCCTGGACGTCGGAATCGAGCTCTTGGTGCAGGTGTTCCAGGTAGCCAGGCGGAAGGAGGTCGATGATAGAGGTCTCAGCTTCCTTGCAGAGTGCCTCAATTTCGGCCGACTGAGTCTCGGAAGGACAGATACCCTGCGCTTCCAGCTCTTGTTGCGCCATCTCCTCCTCCTTTGCGATTGTCTCTTCGTCGTCCTCGGACTCCTCGAAAGCCGCGGCATCAGCCTGAATACAAGGGATAACACGTGTGAAAACAGCACCAACGTCTTTACTAGAGCCAGGGGCGGACGCTCTAGGGTGAAGAGGTTTATTTCCTTTGGCACACACATACACCTACACACTAGCACTGAAAGGCTGTCTACCTACGCACACAGAGACAGAGTAGGAATTAACGCCAAATCCCCATTTTTATAAGGTGGAAGACACTCCGTTGAATGTCCTACTCGGAATGACATATTGATAAATTATTCAGGGCACGCTAAAGGAGATCTACAAAACGGGCAACAAAGAATGCTAATTCCACAGTACTAGTGACCAAGAGCGAACAAAGCGGTTCGTCCACCATTAATCCGGATGTCGCCACTGAGGGAAGACGCAAGAGGCCTCTTGTATCTCAAAGGCCAAATTAGACCATCCTGGAGACTACGTCGTCCCTTATCGGTTCGCAAAAACGGTGGTCGAGGCTGTAGATTTTTCTCTGGACGGCCACAGACGCGTTTTAAACGACAGAACCCACCCAGTATGAACTGCTGTAGTAATCAGGTATGCAGCGAATCAATCACAAGTGACAACTCCAGTATCCCTTGTTTTTGTCAGAAGCACTTATCAATGCTGGATACATAGTGTTCGCGACAACGAAAGGTTCCCGGGAGCCAATATGACGCACACAGTGTCAGAGCAACCGCGACGACACGAGTTTTGCTGTCAAACGACGATGTGCAAAGAAATCATGTACTTACCCCGTTGGCCAGTGCCCGGGCTTTACTTCCACACGACCTCCAGAACGTGATGCATTAAAAAGGGGATATATTCAGCGTCCACATTGTCGACGTACCGTAAACTCTTTATCAGAGTCGTCATTAGGTATGCCATCTTTCAACGACGTCCGTTGATCGGCTGACCCAGATGGTTCAGAGGCAGGCTCACCAGCAGTCGCCTCGGACTCATTGGCTGCAGACGGGTTGGTTTGAGTGGCTGAAGTGCCGGTAATGCCCTCTGTTAGCCAGAGGGTGTATTGTTCAGTCGTCTCGATGACGTGACCCAGGTGAGTGTTCATAGCCTGTTGGTGCTTTGCAGTCAAACGAACCTTTTGTTTGGCCTGTACAATCTGGTAAGAGGAAGCGGAAGGCGCACATGATAGCTCCGACTGCGAGAGCGTAAACACGGGAAAACAAAAAATTAACCCTAAGAACAGGGTGCACATCAAAGGAGTCGAAAGATTCTACGTAGTCGCAACATGGAGGTCAAACACAGGGGACGCACCTTATCCATTTGGCGCCACCATTCGCGAACAAGGCGCGCAATCAGGGCACACTGCTTGCGTACCCGAATCATCTCCTCCCTTTCGGCCTTTTGTGAGCGCTCCGCTTTCTCGCGGTGGACTTTGAGGGCGGCGTAGGCAAGCTGAAGGTATTTACATCAGGGGAAAAAGGCAAATGAGAGAAGCGGACTACCAGCAAATACGAGAAATAGCAACGGGGTGAGGAAGATTCTTGCCTTTTTAGCGGAGACCTTCTTCCAATGGCGCTCCTTCTTAAAATCCTCAGCAAGCCAGTGGAGCTCGGCAAAGAGGTAGTCCGAGTGGTCTTTGGCTCGGGTCAACTCAGGCGGAGGAGCAAGTGAAGACAGTGAGGGCTTCGACTTATCTCCGCCCCCTCCACCGAACTGGGAGGAGACATCACGTGACCACAAACCCCGTTGTTTTAGCTCCATCACTCGGCGAAGGGTATCAACTTCTTTGCGAACGACACTACCGATTGCAGCTTCATCTAGACAACGCTATAAGGAGACGTGACAGTTTTTAGCTGCAATTTAAAGAGGGCATTGATAAAGTTAAATGGGCAAAATTTGTCGTCACGTTCATGCAAAATTGAACTGCAGAAAAAAACTCGAAAAGACGTTTAAGGGGAAAGACGAGTTGGACTTCAGGTGGGAGTGAAATTAACAACCACTATCACAGACTGCCACAAGCTCGATCCATTCTCGCCTCCAATGATGGAGATCGAATGCCAAAGGTCCAAGAACCACTTCGTGTGCCATGTCAGGTTTTGAGTTGACCTTTTTTACGCCGCCACGTGGGAAACGGTGCCGGATCGATGACAGAAACAGTGAGATCATGAGGCGGACGACGAATAATGTGCACAAACCACATCAGTCGTCTTTCATGTACGACCTGACACACCTTTGTGTTGCAGCACGGGCGGACGGTCTTGTTTGAGATGATGCCGGCGCACCTCACTCGAAGTATGGCTCTCAAGCAGCGATGATCAAACACCTCGAATTTTTGCTCTTCCAAGCGCACGGCCCAGCATTCGTAATCGTATCGGACGGATGCCCGGTAAACGCGAGCCTCTGTGACGATAGGGAAAACCCTGAGAGAAGTATCAATTTTGTCGACGATGTCGTCCTTCCTGCCAATTCGGCAGCAGCAGCAGCCTTTCCCTGAGGTATCTGAGATCACCTGCTTCTTCAGACCGACAGCTATTAATCTTTAACGTGATGCCTTCACCTGGTCAGGGATGAAGTCCAAAAACACTACGATTTTTTCCCCAGCGTTTATGGATAACTTGAGTGATTTAGCGACTTCATAATAAGTCGTTTTTTTTCAACCTCATCAACGCACCCGATGAATAATGAAAATCAGACAGGTTAGGAAAATAAATCAGTGCGTGGTACAGACGCCAACTTGAAAAGTATGCATGAATGTTTAGTGAACTCCGGCACATAGTGCGGCAGGACAATGTACCCGATTTGCAAAAAAGAACCGGTTACATTTCGTTGCTAATCGATTAGGTGCGCTAAGCCCTTGTGGAAAAAACAAACAGCGACCCTACCTCCCCCTTTACAGTAAGATCAAATTGAAAATTTTGACGTATTGTGCTGCAGTGGAGTGACATACACATACTTCCCATCCTTTAACATACACGATAGAGAGCTTAGTAACGCAGGACACGGAAAGGGGCAGAATGAAGCGAGTCACGAAATAAGGAAATATTTTGAAACGCAACGGCCGGATGAAACCGTCTCGACATGGAAACGGATAAAGAGATCTGGTGGAGTGCAACCGGGATACTAGGTGGGTGAAGTAGCATAGTATCTTCCGTTTTAAAATTAGCACGAAGCCCAGGGCCCACGATGTCTTTGAGCATTTGAGATAAGGGAGACAAGAGCTCCGTAAGCAGATCAAGTACAGGGCTGTCGAGTGTAAAGATAGACTGCCTATAGTAAGACGACAACGTTTTTGCACGTTGTGTCTGAAACAGTTGGTCGGGGGGTTTGAAGGCCACGCTATCAGCCACAAAAATGGCAGAAGTATGCGCAAAGTGCAGCCCTCCTACTGGGCCTGAAAGGCATCGGTAGTAGCTGCTGGAGTACCGAGCGTTTTAGCGTCCTTTATAGTTGAAACTACCAAACATCGTTTCTGGTAGCTATTTATAAGATTAAAAAACAGTAAAAAGTCCTATTCAGAAACAGCGTCAAGGGGCAAACACGTTTTATTGCAGGGTTGACACACAAAGGGCAGAAATAGCTGACGACGAGAACGTAAATACCTCACTAGTTTTGTGTGCTGCGACCAACACTAGAACACTTATGGCATGCTTTTAGTAAGTGTTCCAATCACCCCTTGTTCACACACTCTAAACCTGGGAAGACGGGTTGCTGGCTAGCCGGCGCGTCCACAGGTGGCGGATAGTGGAACTGAAGGTGAAGGTTAGCCGTGAGATAAGTGAAGTGCGACGACTTCGTCTCAAATGACAATCCACACTCGTTGCGACAACATCGCAAGGATAACCCAGGCCATCCAATAAAGGCGACTGAGGTGGTTTGCGCATGTCTTTCGTCGTCCACCCCAGGAGCTCAGTGTTACTGACACCGTTACCCTACTGGAGGCGTCAAAGAGGGGGGTTAACTCGAAATCTGGATCGACACAGTTCGTCAGGACATAGAGGCGGTTCTTGGACCTTCGGTATTCGGTCACCGATGCTGGCGAAGAGAATGGGTTGAACTATCCAAATCTGCTGCCGCGGACCGTCACGCACGGAGAGGTACAATAAGGGACATCATCGAGGCCGGCTAGATCAGGCATGATCGCACCCGTACCAAGTAAAATTAAGAGAGAGTTGTGATCCAGAAGGACTAAAGCTCTGCTAAATGTCACATAAATAAGTAAACCGATTGTGTATTGTAATAAAGGATAGATGCGTGCACAGATAACAGAGATGAGAATTGGTCTAGTCATCCTTCGTCGAACAAAAGAGGGGAATTTCGCATGAAAATGCATCACACTGGGTACGAGATGGCACGGAACATACTCAAAAGCGATAATGCACAGCCTCATAGACTTCTGAAGCCGGCGTTAAATTGCCCGATCACATGTCCGTTAAACAGGCCTGTGATCATCTGAATAGTAACATAAAATAGCTCCAGATACTTTGCACCCTACAAAGCCTCGCAGACACATTATGAATGACAGGCAAACCACCTGTCAACCTTCAGGTGTACGATTGCTTCTATCAGTCCTCGAACAAGAGAGCGGGTCATATTTTCTTTCCAATATGCTAGGCAAGCGTTCGACTATAAGTTACCTAGCACAGATAATATCAAGGTAGCCACTAGCTACACTTTCCTGAGCGTGCATGGAGAGAAGATGTACTTGGAAATAAAGATCATGCAGGCATGCAACTTCTTTTACCACAAAAAGTATCAAAGGGGAGAATAGGAAAAGATTAACGACCTACATCGTCCTCATCGGAATCAGTCTCAAGGTTTTCTAAAGCGGTTTGGTCTGCCTCAACTGGGAAGATTTCGTGAAAAGCCAGGTACCCTGAGACAAAGGAGCTGATGATGTTGAGGTCTTCGGCATCCAAATGTCCCGAACAGAGGGCATGCATCAACTCCTGGGGACGCTGCCGACGCCATGAATCAAACTCCGTTAGGAGTCCTCCACCTTGAAGGTAGGCGAGTTCAGCAATGAATTCGTGATAGTGGAGTTGGACATGAGACAGACGCTTTTTGAGGAAATCGAGCAAGTTCTGTCCTGCCGTGGCCTGAGATTCGTTGCACCGGGGTAAACACAGAGCCAACACCTTCTTCGGCGGCTCGCCTCCATCATCAAGGGTCATTCTCCAATTACTTCTTTACTGTAACAATAAAAGAAGATTCAAATAAGCTTCCAGTTTGGGAGGATGTTTTAAAACCCCGCCGAAACAGAGTGGCTCTGTTATCGCACTCAAAACAGTGAATACTTTCCCGAAAACACTACATTCGCTAGGTGCAACAAGATTAATGACTGAACTAAGGTGGGCATTCTCACTATTATGAGAGGGAACGGAGTCCAGTGTAGGAAAATCCGGATTTTAACGATGAATCTCGTGTAGGCCTAACCATAAGCACTCGGAACTCAAATCGCGAATAACATAGAGTAAACTTATCATATTTCATTTATCAATTAAGTAGCAATGCATTTTGACGTTTCGGACGCATTTGCTGTACTAGTGATGGCTTTCGTCACAACTTATTAAGCCAGCCCCATGCTGCAACTGTGAAGTTGTTTAGTGAAGACAAGATTGATGAAGAGCGGGCACTGCTGAGAATTTGTATATGCATGACTCGCTCTCCCGACTTAACGCTGTTTCCAGAAGTTTGAACAGTGTCCGATGAAGGTCGCTCAGGGTAGGATGATACGATGGTTGACTACACGTTTACCATATGCACTCCGCAATAGGTTTGACCCAAAATCAGCATGAGCTGTCCATTGCTTTAGAAATTGCTGGCCCAACGTGACTGGGCATACATGTCGGACTTCAGCACCTGAAACGATTATCCGACGTTTTGAAAGAATTCATTTCCAAGCCCCCTTATCTCGCTTTCGCACTCATCTGCAGTCCCGCATAGGAACTCGTGAGCAACGCGACATCATCAGCGTAGTTTGGATCCGTAATACACGAACAATGACCTATTGTAGCTTTTGGATCGTCTGCCAGTGCGTGTCGAGGTACCCGTCTTCTCATACAGATGAACTGAATTGATGATTAAACGCCGTCTCGGCAAAATTCAGAAATGGCATCAAGGACGTTACTCTCTGTACAGATTTTGGTTTTCGTTATATGATAGATTTGAATCAAATGATTTAATTTCGCTGAAAAGCCTTCATGCAACATGATCAACTACAGGGAACCTAAGTGAACAGAGTCGAACGGAGAGGAACTACGAAACGGGCGAGTGTGATCTTGGGGGCGATCGTGATTTGTCGCCTTTCTCTGAAATAGGTGCAACGACAGTGTCGCTCTAGTTGAAGTGACAGGGGTATGCTTCCCAGATGTGCGTCAAAAAGGTCATGTGGGTGGAGGAAGTACTTCCAGACAACAGTCGTATACTACCGTCGGTAGATGTTGGATAGTGGTCATAGTCACAGTCGGGTGCCGAATAAGCTTCGAATAGGACAGTAACTAAGGGAGGCGGGCAAGTCGTTCTGGAAGGTGGAAAAAATTCCTTTTCAACCTGACTACGATGGCGAATATTTACTTCATAAGCGCGCATTAGTTGTCTTTGGCTGCTAAGACGAACTGACTGGAAGGCTACATCATCTTAAAAATCCGGTGTAGTCACTTCGCATCTCGTTCGGACAAAGCGTGTTCGAGGTCTCGGCAGTTTTATAACAGGCTTCGGCACGATCGCGCCGTGCGGCGCGCCTGGACGCAGAGCGCAAGTCTCTGACGTTCGGATTACTTTGACGACGAGCAGCCCTTGCGTTATCGGCCATTCGGGTCGTTTCGCCATATGCACTCCTTGCGGCGATGCCTGCTGCGACCTGGCATGCCGTACGAGATATTCTAGAGGGAATTCTTCGACTCAAGCCAGCTGCCTTCTGGTGAATGGGTCCCGAAGACGGTTGGAAGCAACCAGAAGGCCCATGACAGTGGCAGGATATTGGGGATAGTCGGAATCAATTCCTCACGAGGATGCGTGGTTCGAGCAGTAGTCAAGCAGTCACGAAATCGTGATCGGAGACACCTTGCCGGTTCCAGCACCAAAGTGGGACTCTAGTACCGAGCTGGGCCAGTGTGCTTCGAAAAGTATGTTGTCGATTTGGCCTTGGATGTAATCATCACCAGAGTGCCAGATGACTGTATGTCCCGTAGGGTTTCGTAGGCAGATGTTTCTAACAAACAAAAAGTTGGGTGTAGCGAAGTAAATAAGCCTTACATCGACTGCGCAGCGGTTTTCCATTATGTAATGGTAAACGACCTGCTTCATAGACGCATCACTTGTTCCCGTCCTGACGTCTCAAACCTCACCGCGAAATGACAATCATACAAAGGAATGTGCCTGGCAGAAGTCTGAAGCACACATTCAGAATCGGAGACTGCAATAACTGCGATGGTGAGAACAAAACCACGAAAGTGCACATGCGTAGCTCTCAATGACACCGGCTTCCAGTGCATAAATGAAGCCGTGCCCTAAGCAGTCCTAAAAATTCTGACATCACGTCAACAAGAGTTGTCAGTGACATCACTGTGGTAAAGTTTTGCTTGGCGTGACCTGATAAGCGCACCTTGGAGAGGCAATCAATGCTGCGCCAACGCTTTTATTTTGAGGCTCTGCGTTACCCTGGCACCTTACGGGATAGTCGTTCGTCGGAAGAGAACCCTCAACATCCTACTAGCACTACTGCTGTTGTTCGACAGGTGAGGAGGTCTGCTTTCCATGCTTTACCCTCCCTGAGAGTTGTTTCCCAACCGCCTATCCATGGGCACGCTTGGTGGCCAGCACATAGCCCAAAAGGCTGGAGCCATCTTCACGGTGTTATTGCCTTTCCAGGATATGCCAAATCCAAAAAATAGAGATTTTAGTCCTGGCTATATGGATTCGCTGCATATTGGGATGAAAAGCACTTAAAGAAGTTGCTACTAAAGCTTGAATGTTAGGCCAATAAAAATGTTAACATGACCCAAAACAGAATAGTTTTCAGATCTCGATAATGTTTGACGGATCTATGCGAGAGCAACGGGAGAAGCAACGACAACGATAAGTATTATTATCAAAAGGCCTCACGATCCCCCCAACTAATAGCCGGACCGTATGTTGTGAAACCCAAACTGTTCCTAGCACGGCCACCGATGATCAAAGCAACGGGCTCAGTGTAGCGACTAACCCGTTATCAAACACCCTGAGTGCCTGTGCGTCAAGGAAACACAGATGTTAGGGTTCACGACTGGAAAGCCATATGACTACGAATACAACCCGTAAACTTTTACCGCTGACTACACAACAGTAGATGCTTCTCCGGACATCGGAACATCCTGTATATTTAAGCTCTTCTTGTATCAATCAAAGTAAATGACACAGTTGATCGACCCGGGGAAGACGGGCTACTCGTTGGTTTAGCTGTTGATTACCCGACGCGTCCACAGATGGCAGGTAGCTGAACAACCTTCAGCGATGGTTACATACGAAATAATCAGACTCGGGTCTTTTGAATATGCTGTCGCGGACCGGCAGCGGCAGTGCTATCGGGGTGCGGTCTGGCACACCGACAACCGCATAAAGTGCCGAAAAGTCCGGTGACGGCCGGATTCCGAGCTGGGCATGGATGTGCCGATCAGACATTCACACTAAGGCTCATTCTCGAATTCCGCTATAGCTACCAATAACAGTCAGTCGCCTGCTTTGTTGACTTTTCCATTGCATTCGAATCCGTTCATCATGAGTCCCCGTGGAAAATAATGGAACCAAATGGTGTACCGGCCAAAATCGTCGTCAAAAGCAAGTCCCACCACCAGTCAATCACCGTGCGAGTTCTAGACTATAACAATATCTCCCAGTAGTTTGATATTCGGTCTGGCGTTCGGCAAGGTTGTATCATGTCGCCCATTCTGTTCAACTACACAGTTGATTGGATTCTGGGGAACTCTCCACATGAATCTGACGGTGTCGAGTTTGCAACCGGCCGCCGACTGACCGATCTCAACTACGCTGATGATTTCGCTCTACTAGCTTCAAGTTTTGGCGGTCTATATTCTATGGTGTCAAGGGTAAGTGACGTCACTAAATCCGTCGGCTTATCCATAAACCCTAGGAAGACCAAAGTGTTTTCAAGCTGCATCCCTCATAAGAAGGCACCTATCGAGATCAGTGACCGTCAACCTGAAGATGCAGACCGTTTCAAATACCTCGGGGCGAGGCTGCCGCCGAATGGACTGAGTAAGTAAGACATTGTCTCCCGATTCGATTCCACTCGCTGGGTTTTCTCAAGCCTTCAAAAGTGTCGATGGACCCAACACAATATTTCCACCGCCACGAACATTTGTGCGTAGGCTTCATCCGTCAGGTTAGTCCTTCTCTACCGTTGTTCATGTTGAGCTGTGAACGTGAAAGATGAGCGAAAACTGGAGGTATTTGACCACAACTGCTTGAGACCCACCCTCCGAGTGAAGTACACTGACTTCATCTCAAAGGAGATAGTCTGAACTCGTTGCGACATTGCAAAGATATCTCCGGCCATTCCAGAAAAACGACTGTGGTGGTTTGGACATGTTATTCGTCGTCCACCTCACGAGCTTAATGCTGCTGCCCTCGGCCCGGCATCGTTAGCCACCTGGAGGCTTCGAATGTGGGTCAACTCAATACCTGGATCAACACAGTTCATCACGACAAGGAAGTGGCTCTTGGACCTTCGGTATTTGGTCCCCTTCGCTGGCTAAGAGAATGGGTTGAGCTGTACAGATGTGCTGCCGCGAAACGTCATGCATGGAGAAGTACAGTCCGTGCCAATATCGAGGCCGGCTAGATCAGACATGATCGCAGTCGCACCAAGTACAAGTCGGTGCTCGAGAGGAAAATCTCTCGTAATATAAAAGCACAAGGAAGTTATCTGGACCGCGAGATGCAAGTCAAATTTTCGTAGATGGGTGACGTGGGCGACTTCCATTTACCTGAAGGTATTAAATCAGGATTACATTGCCAACGTAGTCATGTTCCGAGTAGAAGATGTTCTACTTTACTCGAAAGTCATTTAAGTTGTCAATTGATGTCTCGAGAAGTGTTTATTGCATAGAGTGAAGTGAAACGAAGATAAAACTGTTGGCAGCAAACTCCGACAATGAAGTGCTCGTCCTCCGTC